CGTTTCTTAGTGATTTATGAGTTCAAAAACATTCATATGTATTTAAATGAAATTCACTTAAAAACAATGTGTTGCTGAATTTGTATGTTTAACAAATTCTTTATCATAAATTAGATGTAGTCTTCGTACCAGTAAGAAGCATGCAGTTCATTTTACACTGGTCCTCAAGTTTGATATTTTATCTCTTCTCACAGAGCAACAAATTAAATAAAAGCCCGATTTTGTATGCAATGCGCGTGCGACGTATCAAGCTGGTGACGTGCTAAAGTTAACCTGCGAATATTTTAAATTTACGATGTCAAACTGTCCAGTTGTCAGTTGGTATCGGGAGAAAAAATAGTTTATTATGGCCCTGGACGACTTTCACTTGTTGCTGTATGAGTAGAATTTTAATATAGCCTGTATGAAGTTGTTGAATGCTCACGACATTTCCTACAACTTTATATGGTGTTGTGTTTCCTTCTTGATGTAAACACGTGTGTATTTTGATATACTTTTTTTATAGTGTATTTTTATTTTGATAATATACAGGTAAGGTAAACTAGGATTTTTAAATTATATGAACAAAATTGGGTTGGGCAAGGTGCCCAAGATGCTGGCAGCGTTCCCCCTTTGTATTGCTGTGCTAATGCGTTGGGCAAGGTAGCTGCGCGCACTTGGGTTTCCCAGGCAGTCTATTAATTTTTTCGATAAAATTTTGTACAGGTGAAAGGCACTGGGACCTCATGGGCCAAGGATGTCGACTCCAAAGGCTGTAATTAGGTAGTCGGAGCCGAGTTTCTGACACTTATTACTTTTTGCCGCTTTCCGCCAGCGAAACGAAACGCCTGTCCATAGCAGTTGCAGTGCCACTTAGAGCTTTAAATCGCTAGCGATGCAAACGCGGTGCAGTAACGATGCAGTCGCTAATCGTCTAGCTTTACACACGCGCGCGATTTTAAGCAGCGATGGAAGGGTGCGTTTGCACCGCTGCTAAATGTCGCCGTGTGTTACCATTCTAAGGGACACTTCCACCGCGCCCTTCACCCTGAGACATAAGTTGATAAGTCCTTTATGCCAGTAAGTTCACCAATACCCAACGCGGTAATGGTCCCATTACTGTTTGGCGGCAGAAATACCTAATGTGGCAGTACTTACTTGGACGACCTCTTTCACAACGACCTGTACTGCTCTACCATGTCAAACCAAATACACTGTAATATTGTAGATAGATAACACGTTTATTCAGCACAAATACAAACAGAAACAAAACATTTACAATCACTTCACAGAGTATAACATAAAAGCACATAGAACATTCATTATTAATTTTATACACATTTATATAAAACACATATTGCGAGAAAAACAAATACTGTGAGAAAAACAAAGAAATACTATAACAACTGATAAAATTTTAATGTACGAGTACCTATGACTACAGTTTGTGCTGAAATTGCCCTAACTAAGCATAAATACTGTAGACCGAGAGAAGTCAAACAGTGCGGGTTTTCTGCCAGTACCATATGGTGAGCGATCGCAGCCCAGTAAGTAAGCCCAAAGTTAAATCAAATCAAAGTTAGTTATTAATAACAGCATTTTGAAAAAACGCTAAAAAAGTATTATTCGACTTTTTGTCAGTTATTAAGTTTTGAAGTTATAAATAAAAATAATATTAAAAGATGAAGAAAGGGGTTACAGTGGATAATAAACTCCGCTTCATTCCACATGTTGAAAATACTATAAAACGTGCGTTTAGAATTTCGGCGCTAATAAGGAGGACGACTAAATGCTTTAAAAGCACTGCTACTAGGATGATCATAATTAACTCTCTTTCTCGTATTACTCTTGAGTATTGTTCTGTTGTATGGAACCCGCATGATCAGGCACACTCGATTGGAACATGTGCAAAGCAAATTTCTTCACCATATTTGTTACTCTGGATACTTGTGACTCTTGCGCCAAGCACTTGTAAAGATATGGGGCACTGTCTCTGTCTAATTGTAGAACTATGCTGGATCCAAGTTTTTTCCACAAAATTGTGAATAATTCAATAGATTTTCTACCACTTCTAAGTAAGGTTAGGTTTACTATTCCTAGACTAAATGCAAGACCAAGAAATTATACACCTTTTAAAACTCGTACCTCTACAACTAAACTTGGCATCTCTGCTCCTATAAGTAGAATTAAAACTTATAATTAGCATCATAGGCCATGTATATTTTTGATGATTCCCTGCTCAGCTTCAAAACTAAAATAAAAAAATTTCATGTTTATCAAAAATTAAAATAATATTAAAATAAAATTGTATTAAGTAATTATATTAACGTGTTACCTATTGCTATATGAATTTGAAACTGTAAACTATATGTTATAATAAAATCTGCTTCCTAGTACTAGCATGCTGTGATAGCCTGTAAGTGCGATATGTATAATGTTTTTTTAATATTTTGATTGTACCTTTTTAGCTACACTCTGATATGTATTGTGTTGGCTATCCATTCTAAATAAATAAATAAATAAAGATACATTTAACTTATTTTGTACATATCTAGCTATTGTTATGTTTTGCGACATACCCATTTCTGTTTTAAGAGTAATCAATTTATTTTGCCTTAATTAGATTTATTGAGTGTCAGAATGCTTCACCACCATGATATTGAATTATTTTTCGTGAAATTACTCCACTAGTTTGTTACAATTATTAATACAAAGATGGAACACTAAGAAAAATTCCTTCGATTCAGCTAGATTTGAACCAACGTGTTGCAGATCTTTGTGTTTGGTTTTTAACTTTTTTGTCCATAGCGCCATCTGCGAGAAATCTATTTCTTCTCTTAGCCAGCTCTGTTTCTTTACAGCTATCAGCAGCTGACTAGAGCCATGCCTTGATAACAGCTCCTTATAGCCATAAAATTACAAAACACTGTACTGACACTTGCAATGTTTTGATTTGATACGATAGTGCTACTAAACCACTTAGACATAATAATAATGCACCATTATCTGAAATTAAACTAGCCTATTCCCTGTATCATGAGTATCAACACCATCAAGACTGACAAAAAAAATTGAAAAAAAAAAATTTTTTTTCACCGAGAATCGTAACCGGGACCATGAGGTGATCATGCTAATCACTGGACCACTGGGTATATTAACACTGGACTAAAGCAAAGTTCATCGTAACTTCCTTCAAGCAAATGCCCATATATATACATTTCTTTAAGATCTACTCAAGACCGTCGCTTAATTGCCCGTATAAGGTACCCCAAGCGCGGAAAAGACAATATTTGTTATTTTGACACATTCACACAAGCTTTATCTCTGCTCAAACATAACGCTTGCTCGAGAAAGCCATTCACGATTTTTTCCCCGAGGACCCAAGTCTGTTTGGTTTCCTACCAACGTGACAAGTGCAAAGGACTGTATATGGTCGGCAAATATGGACATCCTAAGTTTTGTTTTGAGTGGCCGTGGGTGTCAATATGACGGCCTGGTTTAATTTATTGCACCCACAGACGGATTAAGATCGTTTTAGAAGATTATCGAATTGCATTCGCTAAATGTCTTTTGGGTATGACATATTGATATAAATTACTCCAAGTCTTTGCATTCTTTGTTGTGTTTCTATACAATTTTATAGAATAAGATGTTTAATACCAATTTTGACGATCTCGATGGCCCAACGGTTTGCACTGTGGGCGGTGGACGAGAAGGTTTCTGGTTCGATTCACGTTAGGACCAATTTGAGAAACTAACTTTTGGTTTAGCGTTCCAAGTATTATACAAGCAGTGACAGAGAAAGCCTAACACAAAACCACGTCTTTAAAGAAACAAAAATAACCATAAAAGTATCAAAGAGTTTGAAACGAGCGTGATAAAAGCTTATTTTATCGTAGATCTTTCTAAATATATTTATACCTATATATGAAATATTTTTATGAGGCTGTTAATAAGTAGCGAGACAAAAATTGAAAAAGAATGAAATGAAATCTGCGATAAAGTTTAACATTTTTCATAATATATTCCGTTCTACATATTAGCATTATTAAATGAGACCACACATGTCATTCAAATAAAAAACTTAATAACAAAACTAGATCGAAATAAATTCGTTACAAAAACTGACAGAAACGTCATACTGATTATGTTGTATCAAATTAATAATGGAACTAATGTGATAGTATCTGTGACGAAATATGTCAGTTTTAATACAGCGATCAAATAGAATATACAAAACAACAACTAACAATCGTTCAAAAAACAAGATTTATATAGGTATATTATAGCGTTCATTAACACGTCACCTTCATTCAGAATCGCCAGTCATAAAGCCTCTGAGATATAAGCCCCATGTACATATGTCTTCCGAGAAGTTAGATTAGGCGTTTAAGTGATTTCTAAAGTAAAGACTTTGAGACTTAATGCCCGTCTCCATAAATTCTCGAAGGAAATAAGAATTTCCGACGAACACGTTCATATTTACGTAACACTCGACTACAAAGAAAGGCAAATAGAAAAGTAATATGATTTCCAGCGCTCGGGCACAGGGCACGGACGACACACGGTGCGCGAGAGTGCTCCGAGTTTTTTGTAGGGCCGCAGCCTATGTTCGGAGGCCGGCGGCGGCGGGTGGCGGGCGGCCGAGTCAACAGGCCGTGATCTCGATCGCTCTTGGCCTGTTTGCCCGCTCGCTCCTCGAGAATTAATGCGCGACGCAAATATTTATCTAAACGTCTGCGGATTGACAGTTCGGTCGTCAGTTGTTTGTTGTCTTTACCTTTTCAAATGAGTATTTCATTTCGAATTGCACCCAATGCCTTAAGTGGCGTTCGTCCTTTGTTTATTTTTTAAATTTGCCAAGTTTTTGGTTTTAGGAGCCACTCGGGCAGGCATTGTCTTTGCTGCGACGGTGACAAAAGTCAATCTTTAGCGCGTGTACACAATGAACCGTCCCGTTTTTTGTTACGCCTTGTTATTAGGTTTTTTTTTTTACTAAATTAAGAATCTTTGTTTGATAGGGGGATAGCGAAAGCTGGCGAGCCAAACAACTTATCACCGTTATCACCTGGAGTGCTGTACATGGACCCGGCGGTTCATGCTACGTTAAGAAGGAAGCAACGGCGGCTAGCCAGGGAGAACCCAGGCGTGCTGGCGGCGGTCGCAAAGGGCGCCAGCATGGCTGTCGCGGAGTGCCAACATCAGTTCAAATACAGGAGATGGAACTGTTCAACGAGAAACTTTTTAAGAGGGAAGAATCTATTCGGCAAAATCGTTGACAGAGGTAAGTGCATTTAAGGCTTGTTATTAATGTTTTTAATTACACTAAACAATTGATAAGGGTTGACAAGTTAATACTCGAGTCACGGTAATCCTGTCGCCAACGTACAAGACCTTTGCAAAAAGGCGATATTATTTAAATAGCGATTTCAAGAACACGCGTCATTTGTTGTTTCAAATTTGGTATCGTTAAACAAAACGAACAAAACATTAAAAAGAAGTTAAGCAGATAAGCCCTAAATGCCCTTCCAAAATACCGAGGAAACAGATTACTGGCTATTGATTCGTTTAAATAAGTAACTTTAAAAAATGAAATCGAAACTTGAATGAAGTTCGGTGCAAAAAAGGTCTGTATAAAAAAGAGTACGTTTTGTACAAGCCCCCTAATACCAGTTACAAAGAGTGGCTACAAATTAAGTGTTATCCGTAGTTGGCAACCCTTTTAAGAGATGTTATCTGCCAGGAACGGGAGGGTAGCGCTGAGGCCGGGGCCGGGGGCACGTATAAAGGGCTCATCAAGATAAAACATCCTGGATCAATTACATGCGCCCGAGTGACATTCGAGTTCCCGTTTGTCGATCCATCCTTTTATTTTATTTACATTTTCAAAAGTATTCCTTTTTCAATTCGACTTGTATTAATATTAACATTGAATATTAATTTGAAAGATTATCTAGGAATGGATGAAGATTTCACAACGTGTTATAATTATTTTTTTAAAGTAATTGTTGAAGTGCATTAAGGTGTGTTTTGTTAGTATGTTTTTAGGATAAAAATCCGACATTACTTTCGCTTCGATTAACCTACCGTTGCGTAAAAAACATGTCTATCGTTTATTCAGCAAACACCTATTCACAAATGCGCTTGCGTCGAATGCATTTAGCCGATTTCAATAGCTGCTGATCTTATCGTCAGATCAGATACAAATCGGCTAACAGACCTCCATTAGCATACACAATAGCGGTATTAGTACCAAGTTCAATTGAAATAGCATATTAACTAATATTGCGTAAGTTATTTAGTTTTTGAACTATTAATTTAAACACAAGGCTTGTGTACAGATAAATAAGGAACAGTGCCTGATAAAGATATTATTCCTTTAAAAAGTTTTAATACACTCTCTGACTATACAAATTAAGTGTTGCCGTCGATTAAATGATTACAAATCCTTATGGCTCCAGAAAGAAGGTATAAATTGATGTAACAGTCCACTGTGTTGTCGTGTATATGTTATTTAGTGTTCGGAATCAGCGCTGCCCTATCTCCGGTGTCTGATTTCGATGCTTTGTGCGCGATACACCTTATTATGAGCTCGCGAACATCTGTTCATACAACGTACATTATTTGCTATTACAACGGAAAAAAAACGCCAGTTCTGGAAATCAGTTTTGTCGTTTTCGCGATGCTCTTTTATTTGATGATTTTTATGGGAACGAGATAACGCATTAATCTGATTTTTAACCGACTTAATAAAAACGAGAATCAATTCACCTGCATTTTTTATGTATTACGCGATTACTCCGACATTCGTGAACCGATTTCGATTATATTTCATATGTTGGAACGGGGGCAACTAAGCAATGGTCTTATACAAGTTTGAATAAAATATTTCACCTCTAGGGGAAGCAAATTAAGGAATGCAGTGAAATCCAATGAGGATTGGATTTCACCCACTTTTCATTAACCGATTTGAATGAAACTTGGCACATAGATGTAATACCACAGACTTTTAACATTGGTTTTTGTAAAAAAGTTATTATTATATTGTAATATATGGAAAGACCACAGTCTCCCATTTGCTACGATCCTGGCATGCTTCTTTCGCCGTATCCACACACATTAATGCTTTCATCTCGCTCACCGGTTAAACGCACTCTTGACCTGGCCTTTCTTTAGGACGTTCTCGATTTGGTCATGGTTAGTGCGCCTGGGTCGGTCTTTACTAACTTGCCCGCACACACTCGCTTTATAAATTTATTTCGTAAATCTTTGTAGAATATTCTATTTTGAATTTATCATGATTCATCATCATCAACCCATTTATACGTCCCATTGCTGGGCACGAGTCTTCTCTCAGGATTTAGGCCAAAACTTCATTTCACTTCGAGAGTTGTAAACCTTCTCCGATTTTTATTTATAATATCAAGTGACGGGACGAATAAGCCGTGCGCCTGTTGGTAAGCTACACGCCTGTCCATAACGGTTGCAATGCCACTCAAAGCTTTAAATCACAAACAGCTGAGAGGCACTGCGCCCGTCACCATGAGACGACAAGTCCTATGTGCCAAAACAGGAACGCTGTAATGCTCACATTACTGCTTGACGGCAGAAATAGGTAAGGTGGCAGTACTTACCTGGACGAACTCTTTCACAAGGAGCTCTACTGCTACATTCACAATTCACGTATGCCTTCGTCGAAAAGCTCACGGTAAATTTCACACATAAATTTCGAAAACTTCAGAGGTGCGAGCTCTGATTTGGACCCAAGGCCTCTGTTTGAGAGGCTGTAGGCCACACTGTTAGTGGTTTTATATTTATTTTATAATAAATAGATCATAATTCATATTTTGATGTTTCTACTACAATAAAACAACATCAATAAGAAAGAGTTATTCAAATATCAATAAAAACGTATTATAACAAAATGCTTTCCGTAAGATCGAAGTTCACCGCGCCCGCATTAGGGTTTATCTTCGAAATTAATAGCGTTCGCTGCGATATCGCGCCCTAATTCGATCGCATTTCGAATTCGTAACTATATCAGGATACTGTCGGCCTGTAGTAAGTGTTCTGTGTACTCCGGTTATTGACCGCTAGCTTCAAACGTTAATGAATTGTGCAAGCGGTTTTAGTAAAGAATGTTTCTATTAACTCGGAAGTTCCAATGCACTTCAAATTCTCGTGTGTCTGAGAATAGTACACCAACAAAGTCTTAAAGCCTTAATTAGTTTCAATTTTTTTTCGAAAAATTTAAATGATTGAAATCAGATCTTTGCGATTTAAGCTCTGCTTTTCGCTTACCACCAGATGAATTGTTCATCCCGTTATTTAATATCGTAAAAAAAAATGTGTTCGATCTTTGTATTAATAATTATAACAAACTACGAGTAATTAAAAATGTCATGGTAGTAAAACATCGTAATATTCATTACAGTCATTATACAGTCAGTAAATTTATAAAGCGACATCTCTTGTCAACCTCTGGTAGCTGTAAAGGTACCTGGTTGAGTGAAGAAAAACTTTAATAGATTCCTCATAGGTGGCGCACCGGTAAAAAAGCCGTTAAAACCAAAAACAGAGATCTGTAACAAACGCATAGAAAATTTCGATTGGTCTTCTGCAGTTGATAAAGCGGTCACCCTAATTTGGCACTGACACAGGCTTGTGTCCTGTCAGATCGAGGGAATTTTTCTTTGTGTTTGATCTTTGTATTAATATTATAGCAAAGAAGAGTGGTAATTTGACAATGACTATTTAGAAAAAAAACCGACGTCAAAAGTTCTGGAATTACAAATTTAGCCAAATTTGATTTGTGACCCTGAGAGGTGAAATATTTTCTTCACATTTAAATGGGACATTGGTCCCATTCAAATTTGAAGACCATCAGTATTGACTGATGTACCCTCTTTCCAACAAAAAAATAATCATCAAAATCGGTTCACAAGTGCCGAGTTATCACGTAACATACATACAAAAAAATTACCTCCTCCTTTGTTCAAATCGGTTTAAAAATATACTATTATGGTAGTAAAACATCATAATATTCATTATAATATTATAGTTTAAAAAAATATATACGGTTATTTTTTTATTTGTGTACTTAAAGATAAATTTTCATTGCATTAACTGGGACACCTTGCACTATAAACAAATTAAATGTATGAAATATTCATCCAACATTAGATTGGTAAGAAATCACTATTACATATATGCATACTAAGTGTTTACACAATTTAAAGTTTATAGTAGGAAAAAACGCGACCGGATCGAAGATAGCCTGCGGCTGAACTCAACTAGTACACTCGCCTACACAGCTTATGCTTCTATAATACTCAATATTAATAGTAAATATTTGAGAACACGAATTTGTGCATACGATTGTACCACTTGCGTGAATGAGCAGGTAAATCAAATGAACTATTATTGGACTATGCGTTATGTTCCACAAATTTATGCTGCTAAAATAACGTAAATCGTCGAGACAGAACCAATTAAGTAAATAAAGTACATTAAGAAAGAATTACGCGGCAATTATTCTTCAGTTACATTTTTCTTTTCTGTTAGCAACTTGTGCCTATTGGACCAGCAATAAAATGCAGAAACATTGCTCAATAAAGCATTCAAACCACTGACAGGCATGAGGCGAAACGCCTAGAGCGAATATAAATATTGATATTTCATTCAAACATGTACTGCGATAAAAGCTTTGCACAATTTTTCTAAATTAAAAGCCAGATAAAGCACGGGCCCCCAGACCACCATAGTAATAATTTCACTTGATAAAAAGAGCAAAGAGATTACACAATTTATGTTATACGCGTGTGCATTTGGAGCATATTACTTTATTAAGGGCAGGCAGGGCGGGCGAATCACGCGGCCCCATATTACAGGCTTGCCGCAAATATCCACGATAAACTTTTTAATACATTGCAATTACGCTCATTCGAGAAACGCATAAAAACGGACAACCGATCGCGGCGGGAGCCCGTCACAACGTTCTCATTAGAGAAAAAACTCGCAAATATGATCCCTAAACTCGCTTTTGAAATGTTCATCAAATTCCTCAACATTCTGTATAGGGTTGTCGCGCACCATAATTACACTGCAGACGCACAAAGACCCCCCGGTAGGGACACGAATAATTACTAATTTACACGTTGACACGCCATTGACACAAACGCGACATCTTCATCTCATTGTGGTGTAAACCTCAAGGCTCGTATTAACACGAATGATGACAACGGCACAATGGCCCGGCTTTTATTCGTCGTGTCATTGTCATAGAAAAATATATGGGGCGAGACCCCGTGGCGAGCCCTCCTGTGGCGTAGTTTAGCGATGCGTCTGCACTCGGACAAACTCCACGGAAGCCGCGTTTACACCTAATGCAGCTCCTAATGGCAGGTAACTCGGCCAATAAAACCCGACCTTTTTCCAAATATTTCCTGTTCTCGAGTGATTCGTATGTGCCCCCAAGATTCCAACGCCGTGGGTGGATTAAAACGTATAAAACGATCGACACCAAAAATAAAACAGATATAAAATGCTCTCGACGAAATGTTTAATACTCAATTAGATAAGCGTTTTGGGTTTTGTACAGTTTGAACTGTGTCTCCGATACGTAATGTGCTTGTGATATTAAAATAAAATGAAGGTATTTGGATTACAAACATGCTTCGCTATTCCTGTAGGGACATGGGACTTGTTGGAGTTTTTACCGCTCGAGCTTTTGACATTTTCAATTGCCTCTTTATTGTTTATGGACAAGTCACTTAAATCGGAATTATTTTCGGTGCTTTTTTCGTAGTTTGAAAACAAATGTCTTTGTCCATTGTGTGAATGGGTGTGGAAGGCAGTGGATGGTAGCTATGGTAGCTGCGAGCGCTTTGTGCCACTCACAATGAGTGATATACGAGCGACGTAATTTTGAATTGTCGCAGAGAACCTCGGACCAGCAGTTCAATGTGAAATTATCACCCATATACGGCATAACGAAAATGAATTATTGCTTTTTATTGCTCCATTCCTGGTGTGTCTTTATACTAAAAAATATCACCTATTCATGCGCAGTCTTGCCTCTATCTATTGATTAAAACTGTAATCCTTATTAACAAATTAACTCTTATACAGTGTAGGCGTCAGAGTAGCGACGAAAATAAATCAAAATAGACTATCTCATTATTGCTCTGGAGTATGTCATTAACTCCTAGTGGAAACTATTTTGTATACAAATAAAACTACATTTAAAATGACTTCATCTCAAGTCGATAAAGGCACGACTGATAGAGCGAGTGCTAAACCGGCCAAACACCCTTTTATAAACGTGTGATTTATCGATGTTTTGAATAATTACGTCTCATCAAATTTGAATAATGTAAGTCGTCATAAATAATAAGGTACAAGAGGCGCGATGCAAAACCGTCATAAGTCAATCCTTCAAATTAATCTCATGGAAACACCTCGGCGTGATGACTTAATGCGGACAGAAACATATTTAATTAGTGCATTAATTTTGAATTATTTAATGGTTCACCCGCGAGCCAGGTGTTCGTCAAATGTCAACAGTGATTAAGTTTTATTTTAGTGAGCGGTCGAGCGGGCACGCAGTTGGATTTACGACTTTTTGACTTTTATAAATTCTCAACGCCTCGCCTTAACTGCCAATCCGGCGGGATGGAATTATCGCTCGGTGCTCGCGCTGTAAACTGACTTCGGGACCATTTATTATCTGCACAGATAATCCATGGACGGCACTTTATTATCAGTTATAATAATAATTTACTTTTATAGATCCACATTACTTATGTTTGTTCTTATTTGACTGCAATTTGATGGAGCGAAATTGCTTTAGTAAAATTATGTTACCAAATCTCTGCCTACCTAAATTACTTATACAACATCAGCTGTCTAGACACGTGTACCTCTATTTGTTTTGGGAGATGCTCGGCCGGCGTCGGATTATTGTTGTTTGGGCGGTTAATTAGGTCCGTAGATGGAATTTACATTTTATTTAATGCCGTGACTAATGCGGCCCCTCAGACGGTGCCTCTTTACATCTGTCATAATTTTTCTATGTCGCGCCTTATTCGCAAAACGCGACAATCGGCTTTGTTGCTCGGGAAACCGATGGCCGGACACGACATGCAAATAAATTATTCATTTATTTAAAGTTTTATACATATTCTAGTCTTATTAGAATTAAACAAAGAACCACTACTGAATTATATAAAAAAACTCAGGCTGGGCTTGTGAATCATCGACGGTCATCGAAATACGACTTCAACATTCTCACACACCAATTAAAAATTATTTCCAATCGTTGTTTATAGCAGCGTCCCGTTATGCCATCCGTATGATTGAACTGTTGCTGGAGTAACACTAGCGAAATAAAAATCACAGCGGGCTTATATTGACAGCTGTTTGATGACAGATGCGTCGACAGGGTCTCACTAGGAAGAGCCCGCCACCTGGCCGGTGCAGGCGCCCCGTCGCCACACAGAGCTCTCTTACTCATAAACGATCTCTGTTGTAATATATCCGTGACCAATCTTACCACTTTATGATACGTTCAACAATATTAAATGCTTGATTACAATATCCGATCATATCAAACACATTTTCTGCATGAATAAATGAACCAACCCCTCAGTGTCATCCCAATGCCTGATGACTTTTATCAGGTACTCACAAGTCAATCGGATTAGCCGAAAGCTATTATGTTACGAGCGTTATTTACGTGTGCCATATTTAATTGGCCTGCACCTATTCGTTATAGTTAATGCGAGAGAACGTTTCCAAGTCATTACCGAAGATAAATGCGCGACTCAGCGACCGCTCGTATTCGTATCTGTACCTTGAATTAATTTCGTCCGAGCATTGAATGATGGCGAAATTGACATTAAAATTCCCAGTCCAACGTCTCATGTAATTGCTGAATAAAATACTTTTGTATAACATCCCAAAGGGAAGCACAAAAAGCGAAACCCAAGCGAGATGCGGCAGAGTGCGCGCGCCGTAATTTATATCGGTGTACGATGACAACTCAATAAAAAAATGATTCCATTTGCTTATTGAGTCCTTAATAACGCTGGTACGGGCTGCGCGGGTCGTTTCACATAATATGATTATTATATATAACAACAAATACGCGTTTCTTATTATTTTTACATCTTTGGGGTCTGTTCACTTTTTCCGATTTATAGCGAGCGCACGAGGTGGCCGGAAGCCCACCAAAGGCGTGCGCCTGCGCAGTATATTCCCAAACGAATTGCATTGGCCGCGGAGTTGACACGCGATACACTTATATTAGAGCGGCGTTAATTGCTTACTTTATTTTTACGAAGGCATCTCGCGATAGCGATCGGGCTTCTTACGTTTTATAGCCTTCGAGGAATTTCATCATAACGCTGGAAGAGCTCGCGCATACGGCGAAGGCCTTTAATGAGTCGAGCTTGCACCAACAATAGCGAGTTATTAATGCACATTACGCCGTAAAATTACAATGTCTACGCTTGTGAATTAATAACAAGATTACATCCAGGGTCGACAGCCAGGAGAATTTTATGTGAGTTTTTAGACGAATGTAAATTTAATTATGTGGTAGGGCATTCGTTATTCGTCGACGTCCGTTTTATCCGTTAATAATATCGTCTCCGTGGGCTGTAGGCTGCTGCGCGTAGACAAAGAGCTGGCCCGTATTAATCGTTAAGAGTGCGCAGGCTATTAAATCGATATTAACAGAGAGAATTCGATGCGCGCGCCGTACCACTTGTAATGATCAAATTTATAATCTCTCGGGTAGGTAAGAGCCACTTCTTTTATTTTCAATCGTCGAGATATACCCTCTCTCTTTTAATTGTATTTTATGAGTATTTGATTCTAATGCCGGGCCATTAATTATTTATAGTATTCGATACGGGATGAGAGCATCGATTTATGAATTCGTCCGCTGGAGATGAATGGACGCGATGCGATGATTGCTTCGTGCTTAACCCTTTATTGCGTGAATATCAACTTAATGATCGTGTTTCTCTTATTGTTATGATTCAATCTGGCGATGTCAGCCTCGCCCTACACTTCTTTCGTTGTAATTAAAAAATAAGCAAAGTAATCGAACATATTATTAGTTCGCCACCCTCGTCGTCGAGAGCAATTTGTGAACTGTTGGAATGTTTTTGTACGAAATCTTTAATACCTACCAATTTGGAATCGTCCAAGATTTTTTATCCCTAACCCTAACAATAAAATTTGATTAAAATATGGACCCCTCGGCTGTTGAGATGAATTAATTACTTGAATACCAAACATGCTTTGCTTAGTATGTAATCAAGGACCCGTACTGCCTCTACCTGTTTTGAAAATTACCTACCCAAAATGCAAATCGTTTTTTATGCTATTTATGGTTTTATTATATGTGTAGTAAACGACATAATTGCAAGATAATTGTGGGATTTAACATTTAGATTTAATATGTATATAAGTTAATCAAAGTTTCCATTGTCGTAGGTTGTCGAGAGACAGCGTTCATATATGCAATCACCAGCGCCGGAGTTACGCACGCCGTATCCCGGGCTTGTGCTGAAGGCTCTATTGAGTCGTGCACGTGTGATTACTCCCACGTGGACCGCGCGCCTCACCGCTCGCGAGCTGCCGTCGCAGCTAACGTGCGAGTTTGGAAATGGGGTGGATGCAGCGACAACATCGGGTTCGGCTTCAGGTTCAGCCGGGAGTTCGTCGACACGGGCGAAAGAGGAAAAACACTAAGAGAAAAAATGAATTTGCACAACAATGAAGCTGGTAGAGCGGTAAGTTTCATCAGGTTCAATAAATAAACAGCCTTTACACACTCGTCTAAAACTTCACAAACACTTATAAATAAACCATACACGTTGAGTAACAAAATGTCACTAACAAGCTACAGCTAAATGTTCCCAAGTCATGACAAGTAGCCGTCGCTATCTTGGCCTTGTGATGATTGGCAGTCGACATACTGTGGCATTACAGTTTATCCAATGGCCACTTAGACGGTAGCACCTCGTAAACAAAACAACTTCGATTTATCGATACGACCATTGTCAGCGAGGCGTGTTTACATTACCATTACGGATGACGATTGATCGTCAGCAACTTGTCGCGTTATTAATTATGCGTCAGGCGACGGCACAACCCATTGCGCGATGAGTGCGCAACAGGCACTCATTCGTTGCGCCTGCGCCGGCTACGCGTCCTCCCACCGCACACCCACATTTGCATGTCACTATCCGACTCTACCTAAAATCTGTCGAAAAAGGACGTCGTCGCACACCTCGAGCCACCCAGACTCATCATTAACAGACCGCTTAATTCCTGTCACGCCGCTCGCGCTGGGTGTCCACCTGATGAATATTCACTACATTCCGACGATTGTTTAACACATAATTATTTAGACACCGTACTCGTTTATAATTAGGTACACAAGTTTAGTAAGTAGATACATAGAGTTGATTACAAGGCGTCGACATTGTTCTTCAAAGCGCCTGCGCCTCGGAATAGGTTAATATTGACTGTCTCCATCCTCACGTCATTTATCTACCTTCTAAGAATGATGAATGTCCCTAGAATATGATTTATGATCCAGCCACGCGCGGTGACGACCGGCCCACCTCCTCACGATTTGTAACAATTTGCTCGATCGTGAGATGCGATCGATGGAATACGCTTAAAAGATCATCGATCACCTGTATCGACGCTTATCGAAGGAATTTAAAGATATTTGGACATCATTATAGACCTCCTGTTACGATAAAGCCTCTTAAATGATTAAAATTAAATAATTGTACATTACTTTGCGGGTGATGTTTAATGGTATTGTTATGTTAACAGCACGTGCAGACGGAAATGCGACAAGAGTGCAAATGCCACGGAATGTCGGGGTCTTGTACGGTGAAGACGTGCTGGATGCGGTTGCCGAACTTCCGCTCCGTGGGCGACGCGTTGAAGGACCGCTTCGACGGTGCCTCGCGAGTCATGATGCACAATACCGATCTGGAGAATCCGGTACAGCGGAACGACGCGGCTCCTCACAGGATACCACGCAGAGATCGGTATAGGTTTCAACTACGACCGCATAATCCAGATCACAAAGCTCCCGGAGTCAAAGATCTTGTGTATCTAGAATCATCTCCTGGCTTCTGCGAAAAGAACCCTCGACTAGGCATTCCGGGCACGCATAGTCGCGCTTGCAATGACACCAGCATCGGTGTCGACGGCTGCGACCTCATGTGCTGCGGCCGCGGCTACCGCACTGAGACTATTTTTGTGGTAGAAAGGTGCAACTGCACCTTTCACTGGTGTTGTGAGGTTAAATGTAAACTTTGTCGCACTGAAAAAGTGGTTCATACGTGTTTATAGACAGCTACGTAGTTATGACTTTTGGACATTTTCAGTGATAGAGCAGATACTCTACTTAGTGTTGAATATTTGTGGTTGTGACTCCAGCGCTTGAGTGGACCCGTTCAAAGTACTCGGAAGCAGATAACGGACCGTGTATATAATCACTTTACTTTTTCTTCTTCTAACGGAGTCGACGTTATCGTAATTCATGTTGACTTATGTAAATAGTTCTGTATGACTGTATATTTTTTCTCCTCTATGCGTATAATTGATCTGGCGTGAAATTAATATAAGCTCTCGTTCGGTTAATTTATTTGGCTATTAAGTGCGAACATGTGATCTAGTAACGTTATTTTTTGTGGACGCTGTCGTTTGGAATCTAATGAGACCAGTTTTACGACAATTTATTTCTGTCAGTCTGTCATCCCTCGTTTACAATCGAAATTGGCCTTATTGGTTTCCTTACGCGCTCAGGTGTGTAATTTATTTATTTAAGATGCCGTACATATAACTCTCGATTGACTACTCACCCAAGGGACACCTACGTGAAATGCTTGACGACTTTAAATGGTATTACCTAATATCATTTCAAAGTCGATGTTCATCTAACTAAATATCACATCACGTCGTCGTTAATGACTGCGACAACGACGACGTGATGTGGTATTAATACTTTGTACTTTAAAGACGTCCGCGTGTGCACGCACGGACACGTAACTGTTTTAAAATCCAAGAGCAAAATTATCTTGTACTTAATAATATTTTCACATTATCACCGAGGCCGTTAATGGAATTTGTGGCTTATTGCATTTGCATAAAAGTGCCTTCTTGGGTGTTCGCTGGCGAAAGCTGGCTCGGGCTTTATCAGTCAGTAAGTAGCGCCATCGTAAAAGTGTCCTACATTGCGAGATAACCGCTCTCGAGAATTTTAATTAAATATTAAAGGAATTAAATAATCAGTATTATGCGTATAATATTGCATGTGTGTTGCGTTGGATATTTCGAGATAAACGCGCACGCAAACGCACTCGGTACTTTGTTATACATTTTATACATTTGCTCGTCCCATTATACAGTTTCTATGTACTTACGTAGTTAAAAGCATGTGTAGCTACAGTACTACAAATATTTTGTTTCTTTTAATATACATTTTATTTGTTGTAGACAGGCATTATCGCAAGCTGTTGACTACTGGCTATTTTTAACTTATTTTCATGAACTGGTAATGATTAACCCCCTGCTTTAACCACGATAGACAAACCTGAACTTCAAAAGTTAATTTATTTTGACATAAATGGAAATAGGTGTGTTATTCACCTTTCGACGTATTTAAATAACAATCTGACGTAATAGAGTCAACAATTTGCGATGAATTTTAGTAAATTTATTTGAATATTATATCAACGTGAATCATATTTCAAATGTGATATAAATAAGTCTTACTAAGTAGCTAGGACTATTTCTTTTGTAAAATATGAAACTAATGAAGATATTAATGTCAATACGTAAGCTATTATTGGAAATATTTATTAAACTTGTTTTAATTTATTTTATTTCACTTTAAAACGGGCGTTCTGTTTTAAAGTAAGATAAGTTTTAGTTATAGTGAAAAATCCGATGTCAAAAACATCGGTACTATGTAAACAGGTATATTGGAATACTTATAAATGTAGTATTCCGATCTCTGTACATATTGTAACTACTTTAAAAAAAGAACTAATGCAACTACTGAAAAAGTACAGGTTAGCGAAATGGGGAATTTGCAGATTAGTTTTTTTAATCCAATTTTGACGACAATTTTTTATATTTAAATCTTGTTGAGCTTGAGTTGTCATGAAGTATTATTAATATGCGAGTGTAGTAACCTGAAATATTATTTAATATTTCACGATAATTTACTCGTATACTTAAACAGGCGGAATTGCCACCGAAATTAGGCAAAGAAAACTAGCATGAAAATTTCCCAGATGTACTTACCGCGTCGGATTTTAAAAAGACTGAAGCCTTTTTTATTTTTTATTTTGTAGTTATAATTATCCATGACTGGATTTCTAGAGCCATTGCTTCGAATTTTAGCAAGAAAGCTATTGTGATAAAAAAGTATTTTAATGTAATTTAATAGCGAGCCAGTGTTATGTATTCGAAAATCAAATTTGTGCCATTTTTAAAATCTTTTTATTCGTGACAGTTTTTTTAGAATTTTTTTACAAAATTTCATTTTAGTAACGTCCCCATCGAATTCAATTTAAAAATAATCTACAGTTTTGTAAATATTGTCTTTAAACAATGTATTTTTAAGTTATTTATGTGAATGTAGCATTTTTAATTGTATATCTTAGTTATACAATGTAATTAAAATCAGCTGAACTTAACGGAATCTCAAATCTAATTGTTGTATGATAATGAAAGGATAGGTATATACCTTTTTGATATTATAATTCGTCCAGTGACCGCTTTTGGGGTCAACACATTATTTAGTATTGGTTGTACCTTAGCAGTATCTATTTATAATTAAAATATTGATTAGTTGTTACTAAAAATACAAAATTGATCAAAAAACATACTGTGTTGTTGTTTTATACCTGTTCCCTGTTATTTTTGAAAAAATATATTGTTATTATTGTTGATGTCTGGACTCAAACCAGCCACCTTGCCACAACTGGGCTATCGCTCTCCCACCTGGGCTACGGAACAAGTCTATTATATGAGTATTATTAAATATTACAATATTTATTTAAATGGTACTAAAGTACATAATTATTTTATATTTGGATGCTATTACCGTCTATAATTTTTTTTAAATGGCTTTCTGTGTCCTACTGCTGGACAAAGGCCTCTCCTCTTGACGCCCACGTTCCCTGTTTGACGCAATGTTGGGCCAGTCCATTACATATGCATCCAAGTAGCCCCGACGCCTCCTTCTTGGTCTGCCTCGTCGTCGCTGGCCGAGCTCTGGCACCCACCAAGTGGCTGTGTGAGCCCATCTCTGTGGGTGCATGCGACAGACGTGTCCAGACCAGTCCTTTTCAACCTGGCAGTCCTTTACCCAACATCGATTATGCGATTATCTAGTCAGTGTTCCGGTTTTTGTCCATCCTCTTTACACCTAATATGCTGCGTTCCATCGCTCTCTGGCAAACCCTGATCTTGAACTTTTGACTTTCGGTCAAGGACTACGTCCGTAGGTAAGGATGTGCAGGATATACATTTATACAAAAAATATTTACAATTAAGTATGAGTTATTTAAGTATTAAGTAAGAGTTCGTCCATGTAGTACTTACTGCCACCTTACATATTTCTGCCGCCAAGCAGAAATGTCAGCATTACTGTGTTACAGTTTTGAACGGTAAGGGTGCTGGTGAAATTACAGGTACATGGGACTTGTCAAACTATGTCTCAGGGTGACGAGTGCAGTGGCAGTGCCCGTTAGATTTTTGCAATTTAAAGCTCTGAGTGGCACTGCAACTGTTATGGACAGGTGTCTGGCTTACCATCAGGCGCACCACTTATTCGTCCCGTCACTCGATATTATATAAAAAAATGAAGTATTGTTTATGCATGAAAATAGCATCCAGTAATATTGTAGAAAAACAAATAATGTGGGTTCCACCACTCTTGTCCTGATAGCCTAGAATTTAAGTAATTATAATCTGCCTATTACGGTCTCTGGTAAATGATATGCACTAAGAGATGTGAAATTTTCTTTTTTTAGCTTATCTGGTTTGTAGTACGAGACTGTTGATGGAATTCCATATTTTCTTTACATAAAGTCATGTAACTAATATTAATTAAATATATAAGTTCTTATCGACAAAATTAATTAAAATATAAAAGTACAGTTGAGAGTAAGAGTGGTTACACATTGCCTATAAAACCGTGTACAATGTAACCGTGTGCAATCGCGCATTTGTATCGATGCAATTGAGCGCGTGTATTACGCTTGCATCGCTGCTAAAGTGTGAGAAGTAGAAAACCCGGAAGGAGATGGCGCGACGAGCTAGATGTTCATCTGAAATCCTAACCTGTAGTGGCGCTAAAGTGCGATGAGTGAAGAAAGGGTGGAAGGGAGGCCTTAGCCCTGCAGTGGAATACGAGTAGTAACGACTGAAAAATAAAATAAAATTAACATCACTAATGAATTGGAATGTTATGGCAGTATACAGGATTATTCTTAAAACGACGACTTTTAACGACCTTGCTAGACTCTATTACCAACATCAAAAACAACAACTTTTGTTCCATGGCTTTTAATAATTCATCAGATTTTACATTCATACAAAAATAAATAGATTTAAATAAATAGATAGAATTAAATAAATAGATAAAAAATAAATAGATCGCTCTAAACGGTATTAGCTCTGTGAAGGACGGGGGTGGAGTCGTCACGGAGGACGCTTGTACGTTTGAACGTTACTATGTTTTGTAAAAAAGTTTTTGTTCAAAAACCGAAAGAAGAAAGAAAATCGCGGTACTTGCACTGGTGCGGATGGAACCCGACATCCTGACTGATCCATTCTTATCGATCAAAAACTGATTTTTCTATTTTTAATTCATTGTAATTAACACTAATTAGTAATGAACCATTTTATTATTTCAAGTTTATTATTTTTAATAAAAAAATATTTAATTTAATAAAGTATTAAAGTAACAGTATTATAGCAATAAATTATTCACACTCCTGCATAAAAGTATGTGTGTTTACATATAAGAAATAAAATAAAAATGGAATAAACAAAAAGGACAGCCAAAGGTTGTTCATCCCCGAAACATTTCCAATAGGATAAAAATCTTTCCACAGGAAATAGTTTTTTGAGTTTATCTTATTAAATATGGTGTTTAGAATAAAAAAATGTGATTTGATAATATTTTGTTTGTACATACACACAATTTAAACCTTTTCACTGTTTCATTAATCGTAAAATATTTTTTTAATGACATCACTTTTGTTTACATTTTTAGACTTCAATTTCATCTTAAAGTTTATTTTGAAATCGAAACAATTTAGAATAAACAATAAATCACTAGTAGATTGGAGTAGGTAATATTTGCATTTTTCTTTGTATTCATATTCCAAGGTTCATCCTGTATGAAGTTTATGTCGTTTTATAGATTTCCACGTTCAGTTTTTTCACACCAATTCAATTTTTATTGATTTACCTATTTCATGTATGCAATGAACAAAGCAATAAAATAACACTCCAAAGATTTTTCGACATCACAACAACGTTGCTTCCTGCCATGGTAAAAAATCTATTGAGAAAATGTTTGCTGGTAACCTGTATTTTCATCACGTTGTGCCCGAAAAGTAAGCCCCGCCTAGCATACATATTTTCCACTGACCTACCCTACTTTTACTTTTTAGTCTTTGGATATACCTTCCTGCAATAAAATTGAGAAATGAAATTTCCGGACGATAAAAAGCGGGAGAGAAGGAAAGTAAAAAATATAGACATTTTAGTGTCAATTTAGTGTACATTTATTGTGAGTAGAGCTTTTTATCAAAGAGTTCGTCCAGGGAAGTTCGTATTTCTGCCGCCAAACAGTAATGTGAGCATTTTGAAAGGTAATGGTGGTTGGTGGTGAAATTACAGGCACATAGGATTCGTCAACTTATATCTCAATGACGGGTGCAAATGAGGGTTTCTAGGAGTACTTAATAATAATTTGTGATCAACATTAGCTTTTCGCTATTTTCCAATATGGCCGCCATACAAGCATTTATTATTATTTTATAAACCAAGTGGGCCCGAAGTCCGAAGCGTCCGCACGCCACTGTATGTAGGCAGACTAGTACACGGAGGCTCTGTTACGAGTACAAGTTTTCTCAATGTCTCTCTGTTAGATTCCTTTTTTCTTGGAAGATATACCAAAGAGAAGTATTTAGGGAAAATAAAATACCAGACAATCACACCAATATATATATGTATATACATACATATATATACATACATATATATACATACATATATATATATATGTGTGTGTGTATGTATACTACTTGTACTACTGTACTTAGTTTAATTTTTCAGGAGGACGATTTGTTTCCGAAGAAGAAATAAGTAAAAAAAATAATAATAACAATAAAAAAAACAACAACAACCACTGGAATTTATACACTAGAAAAAATAAAAAGAATTTAAATAATTACGTGAAACAAACTACCGTGTATAAAAATGTAAGAAATAATAATAACAGTGGTAACAACAAAAATAATAACAATGATAATAACAATTATAACAACAATAAAAACAAGAATGGTAATAACAATGCTTACATCATAAACAATAACAATAATAATAACAATGGTACCAACAAAATTTATAATAATGATAATAACAATTATAACAACAATAATAACAAGAATGGTAATAACAATACTTACATCATAAACAATAACAATAATAATAACAATGGTACCAACAAAACTTATAATAATGATAATAACAATTATAACAACAATGGTAATAACAATGCTAACATCATAAACAATAACAATAATAATAACAATGGTAACAACAAAAATAAGAATAATAATAATAATAACAACAACGATAGTAACAATAATAACAGTGATAGTAGTGATGAAATTTTTGTCAATGTTCATGACCATGACGACATTGCCGAATACGGAGAAACCGAAAAGCCTAAAGGTACAGCAGCAGACTCTGAAGAGGATAATGAAAAGAAAAATAAATTAAAAGACATAATGAAAGATGCCTCTGTAACTTTGTGGACTGGCTTGAAAAATGCAGAGCCTGGATTCGATCTTGACGCAAACGAGATGGAGAAATTTAATATTTGGCCACGTGGAGATATACCATACTATATTGATGAATATTCATTTGGTAAGTTTTTTTTAATAAATGCATATCTGGGATAGAGTTCCGAATTTTTTTATGAATTGCTAATTTCATTGATATGCTAAATTTTTTTAGTTATTAATATCCTAGAAAAAAAATAGGTCATGAGTAAGGCGTGTTGATTAGGCGAAAGATGTGTACCAGGATCGTAAAAGTGTAAGGCTGTAGTCTCTCTCTACCCTGATAAGAAAATGACGTGATATGTGTGTATGTATTATATTATTTACAAGAAATTTTTTTTAAAGAAAATATAGAAAATCCTTTAATAACAGCAATACCACAGTTTTACCAACAATACAGTTGCCCAAATAACGTACTTGCGCATAGCAACAGCGGGATACGTTAGTATTTTAAAAATAAGTATGTAAAATCGAAATACAACAGAGACTTAAAATTTCATAGAAGTATTGGACTTACTATGTAAAGTACAATTGAAATCACGGCCATGCTCGTGTTTCCCCCATTCTTTTAAGATTAAATTGTTCATACAAATGCGAATTCACTAAATAGTTAAATTTAATAATGGAGAACAGATAACTTCTAGAAATATAGTGCATTATCTACAGCGCAAGTACCTACATGGCGGCGGTGTAGCCAAATATCAAAGGCGTAGGGAAGATATGTGACACTGTAGTGTAGTACATGCTTTTTATTACATCTCCTGGCAATTTTCAGACCCAACCCTTCAAACTCGAATACGTGATGTCGTGGTAGCTGTAAACAGCGTTACCGGCCTACATTTTAGTGAATTGCAAAGTCCACCTATTGACGACAAAACCCGATTCGTTTTCTTTATCAATCGAAGAGGCGTTTTACCCTGTGTTGACTATACTAATAAAAATTTTACGAACGTAGGTGTACAGGTAAGAAAGAAATATGACCACGTACAGATAGTTAATAAATAGCACACGATTCATAAATTTCGTTAACGAATTTTAGTATTCTTATTTGATTTAAAACCTCATGCAAAATTAACCAAAATCAAAACAAGTGAAACACGTAAATTAATAACTAAGAAGTTTTTTTAAATTTCTCATTGGCTAGTATTTCCATACTTTTATCTCCATTATTAAAAATGGATAATAATGTTTTCTTAAAGATATTTCTTATTGTGTAAGGTTGTTACCACACCAACTAATCTGTAGTCGTGCCATCGATCGATGATAAAAGGAAATGAGTCAACGTCGTTTGACAGTTTCTACTACACCAAATCGATCTGCCCGATTTGTCATTAAATAATGGAACGATCGACAATCGGTGTAGATTCTTCTGTATACATTTAAAAGCTACTGGAGAGCCCACTGTATGAATTATTAAATCATCATCCGATCCTTCATCGACTGTCGAATGAATGTTTAATCGATTAATATTCGTCGGTATGCCAATATTACCAAACCAATCGGTCGACGTCGGTTGATATATGTGGTACCCAAGAAGCATTGCAGCCGCTACTCAGAATTTGTGACATCTCCTAAAGTATCATTAAATGTATTCAATCATTTAATGACTTTACGTGTATACATTTACGCTGAGAGCATCTCACAGATCGGGAAACACAGATAGTCTACATCTCCTTATATCGAAATACAATGACTAAAATTTTTATAATATGTACTGTTTTTTGCAGAAAGTGGTGTTAGGTTATGACTGCTTAAGTATATTCAAGTCATTGGGCAGTTTGATTCTTGCCATAGCTGGAGTACCACCGCAACATAACTCACCAGACAGAGATCGGCATATTCTTCTGCAAACGGAAAACATTCTTCCCGGTATTTTCAGTTTATTATACATCATGCTGTTTTCAGGTGGACTTTTATTATGTCCACATTGTTGTTGTTGTTAGTTTTAGTACCAGTACCTTGTGAAAAAGTTCGTCCAGGGAAGTACTGCCACCTTACCTATTTCTGCCGCCAAGCAGTAATGTCAGCATTACTATGTTCCGGTTTTGAAGCGTAAGGGCGCTGGTGAAATCACAGGCACATGGGACTTGTTAACTTACGTCTCAGGGTGACGGGCAGTGGCGTGACCCTCATATCTTTGCAATTTAAAACTCTGAGTGATACTGCAACTGTTATGGACAGGCGATACCATCAGGCGCACGATTGTTCGTCCCGTCACTTGATATTATTGTGGCGGCTTTAGACACCAACTATTATTACGGGTTCGCTGTTGCAGTCTCTCTGGACGAGAGTCGCCAAGAAGAGTGTTACACTTGCCAACATCTTCGATAGTGTTTTATTTAAGTGGATTGTCACTTAAGTGAGAGCTGTCAAATAGTTCGGAATTATTTGTACATACAATAATTATGACATATTACAATCTATGAAGTTCACGAGGCCGTTTCATTATTCGTTAAGGGGGAGCTATAAATTCCCCAAATTGTTTACCAGACTGAAATTTGCTTTCTTGTATAGAATTTTATTTAATATAGTTTTCGTTTTTAGACAAAACTCATTTATTTGAGAAAATACCTGACACCGAGTGGCTGTTCCACGACGTAGATTACGACTACAATAGTGCTGGTCATTACGATCTTTTCCAATACACGGCCAACGGTAAAGCGACAATTAAACTCTCGGTGAGATATCACACATAATTATGATTAAGTATATTGCACTTTTAAACAAGCAAAATCTATAAGCAAGTCGTGTTTTGAAATATTTCGAGTTCTTAAGTTTTCGCGATTATTACAGCTGTTGCCTGCGAGTTCCTCTGCATCGACTAAGCACTTCGTAATACTACTTAAGTTGCCTATTGTACTACTTACTTGATAAATGATTGATTCTCCACACAAATTTTCATCCCCTATTTCAATCATCAGCTTACATGCATCCACTGCTAGACATAAGCCTCCCCTAGAGCACGCCAACTCTCACTCCTCATCACATCCACAACTCTCATCCAGCCGCTGCCGGCTACTTTGCTCAGGTCGTCTGTCCATCTTGCCGCAGGGCGTCCCTCAATACGTTTTCCTTGACGTGGTCCCCATTTCTGAACAATTTTGCTCCACCGGCGATCAACCCTTCTGCAGACATTCCCGGCCTACTGACACTTAAGCTTACTGATTTTGGAATCTATATCGGTTACTTTAGTTCTAGCGGTTTTAATTCACATAATTTAAAATTTAAAAGGTTTTGTAATTTAAAATAGCCTGTGTTTTCTTCTGGGTCCCATCTTCCTCAATACCAAAATTAATCAAATTTGGTTCAACGGTTTAGACGTCAAAATGTAACAGAGTTACTTTCGCTTTTATAATATTAGTGGTTAAAAATGAAACTGTTTTCTCCCTGTTGATGACTTTACTATCTCAATCAGCCGTCACCAGCGGGACTGTAAGCCTTGGTTTCTCAGAAACAATGGTTTGTTCGAAAAACAAATATACATGATTTAAATCACAAAAAACTGTTTCATATTCAATTATCAAATTAAATATTTTTAAAGTTAAAGGCATATGACGTCAATATCAATAAATATCTCCTACTATTGGATCTGATTTCGTATAAAATGTGAGTAGTTACCACAACTTAGATGGTTATTGTTTGTTGTTTCTTTTTTATAGACAACAGATGATGTAACATGAGTATTTGTGTCCAACGGATGTCTAAAAGCTCATATAAATATTCTTTATAAGTGAAATATAAGTGAAAGTTTTTTAGTTACAGGATGTGACATCATTAGGCGACGAAGGTTTAAGCTACGGTGATTTATGGAAAATAAGAATGCTTTATAACTACATTTCTAGAAATAGAGCATCGATAGGAAAGTCTGAATGCTCCAAACTATTCGTTCCTGGGAGTAAATTTCGTAAATATCGCCCTGATAGCGGTGAAGATATTACGCCAAGAAAGAAACCGAATAAGTATTTGGGCATTGATGAAAAGGCTCCTGAAAAGACCTCCGCTGAAGAGCACAGTGGTGAGTTACCGGATGGAATGCACTTTAGTCATGATGGCATCCATGAAGACAGCACTGAGAAAGAAGAAAACACGATTTTTAGAACTCACATACGCACATAAAAGAACGTGCATGACACTAATGACAAGAAGGTTTTCTAACCTCTTCGTCTCTTATTAGGGGAGTTTGTAATTTAAAAGTGCTTTTATGCAATAAACAATATTATTTGTTTAAATAAATTGAAAGTTCTACCCGAATGTAAAGTTTAGTGTCATTTTCATTTCCAAAATTGTTACTTAACCTCATGATGCCTAGAAACCTGATTGAAAAATGTTATTCTTATCTGTATTTCAAATGTTACTTACTGTGCATATAATACTAGGGCTTTCAGTCCCATTGCATTATTATATGAAAAACGAGTATTTAGAACTGTTTCAAAAGTAGGTTGTCAGCAGTATAAAGGCAAGGCGTTTAGGAAGTATTTTTTTATTAGTTTTTTATTAGCCTATATATTAGTCCCACCGCTGGGTACAGGCCTCCTCTCGCAACGACAGGGCTTGTGCTTTAGTTCCCGCGCGACTCCAATGCGGATTCGAAACTTCACACACATCATTAAATTGCTTTGCAGACGTGCGCAGGTTTCCTCACAATCTTTTCCTTCACCGTAAAGTTCATAGTAAAGAAGGATGGCTAAAGCTGCCCCAATAACAACGAAGAGCCGTTCATAGACTTTGTTAGCATAATTTTGTATTTTAGCTTATGCCTAGCTATCAATATCAATATATTTTTGTATAATTTTAGAAGTCGGGAATTAAAAAAAATGTATAATATTATATTGTAGAATAGGTGCAAGAACATAACGCAATTGATTCAGTTTGACCATAGATTAGGAAACGTTTTTGTACGTACGTTTCATTTTAAGCATGACTGCATGTTTACCTACCTGAAATATTGGTTATTTTATAGTACACACATAAAACATTAAAGCCATAAAATACCTAATGAAATAATCAATTAAACAGTCATCACTTAAAGTAAAAAATAAAACACAATGTCATAAAAATATTTAGATTAAATTTAAATGAGAGATATAACTGCCCACGTGGCCAAACAGTTACCATGCCGGGCTGCCGCGCAGAGGTCCCAGGTTCGATTCCCGGGCTCGGAGAAATATTTGTATGGCCTACATTATTTCTCTCGTGAGTTTGGGTGTAATTTGTGGTTGTCTATGTGTGTGTCCATGTCACCCGCGACACAGGGTTTCCCTAGTGCGGGGCAATGTTGAGTGTGCGCGTTATTATTATTATAGAGATAATGAAAGTTGCAAAGGATTGTTTTGACAAGAGACCTCTTGCCAATGTCAATGTCACAAGATAATGAGAACAGTGTGACCATTTGTGGCAGATTTAATTTTTATTCATTTTCATTCCTGCAAAACCTGTTAAGTTATATTAAATATGGCGTTTGGTGGATTTGGGAATATTCGGGAAGTTATTTATTATTTTTGGGAACTAACTGGAAACTTGTTGTTTTCCGCTACTACGAACAAACATTTGAACCGATATACAGGACAATGTTCTAATATAACCTATATCAACTTTACAATCCCAGCTTCTACATGCTGTACTCAAAAAGGTTTTTTGATGCTTTGATAATGAATCACAAGTATTGATAGGTCTCCTTAATGCACGTCGTCAAAAACGCTGGGTCACAAAATACACGGGTAGTTGCCATCCTTTTTTTATGCAAAGAAGGAGGCAAACGAGCAGATGAGCCACTTGATAGGAGGAGGTCATCGTCGCCCATGGGACATTGGTAACATCAGATGAGCTACCTACGCGTCGCCAGCCTTTGAGAGCCCTGTTAACACGCTTTTTAAAGAACCCCACGTCATAGCGCAAAGGAAATACTTCAAGAAGAAGATTATTCCACATCTTGCAGGTTCGAGGAGGGAACGAACGAGATGCCCGCGTGGTCTTACAATGCAGGCATCTAAGATGTTAGGGATGGACTTTTCTCCTTTGGCGGGAAGTGCGATGGTAGAAACGAGACGGTGGCACCAGTTCGACAAGTGCCTCAGAGCATTCCCCATTATAAAGACGGTAGAACACACACAGAAAGCCAACGTCTCTCCGTAAGCTAAGGGGCTCCACTCCGTCTGCGAGCTTGGGATCGTCGACAATACGAACGGCCCTACGTTGAATGGAGTTAAGTGGGTAAAGCTGGTATTTGGGAGCTCCTGCCCAGAGATGCGATGATGATCGTTCTTTCAAAATTAAATTTTGCACATAAATTCTTAATGACCCCTGCTTGAGAGACGGTAGGTCAAACCAGGTTACCACGCCTTAGCTGACAGTTAAAACATAATATATCAAATTCTTTATTCAAGTTATAAAATAAGAAATTTGCATATCGTCTCTGTTCTTTATAACATTCTACATAATCCTTTGTCTCCCAGGTATATGAAAGAGCGTTTCAGCTTTCTCAGGTTCCCGGATAAGTCTTGTCGCTCTCTCGTTAGGTCCCAGTTATCTTTACCATCATTCAATTCAAAATTTTATTACATAATTTAATTTTGTTTTGTTGTGCACGTAGATCCGTTATTGTAATTATTGTGTCCTGTATTTTGGTCTGGTTTTCCATTTTACCAAATGTGATTTGTCTTTTCCTGTACAACAAATTATTTAAGAAACATAGAAATTATTTAAGAAAGTAATTTTTTCATTTTTATGATAATAATAATACTAATTTTATTGTTCCAAAAAGCCTTAAATTAGGCAACGTAAACTTTCAAACTTAAGTACTAAGTATAACTTGTTACTTGAGAAAAAGTCGGTTCAACCACTACAACCACTACTAAAATAGAATTATCTGAGATTTAGTTCGCAGCTACAGTAGGTAGGTTTTTATAGTGAATAAGTAAGCAACTAAAGACGTTTAATGCATGATAGACAGGAGCTGTTTCTATTACTACTGTTCTTCACTCTCCACAAATTATACTAACTGCATTCTATAATAATGTTGCCGTGTCCACGTGACTAGAGTAAGAAATGATTGTTGGTTTAATAGACTTATATATTTTTAAATAAGTGTCTCTCAGAAGTCTCGATATTCTCGTGGTTGAAAACATCAGTCTCGAGACTTTGGAAATTTTCGACACCTTCGAAATTTTGGACACCCTCGTAATTTTCAACACAGAGATTTCCCGGAATTAAAGGCCTATACAATATCCTATGCTTTTGTATTGTCTGAATCTCGGGCCGAGAGGCGACATAATATCCGCGATGACGTATGGTCATTGAGGTCCATTACAACTCAGTAACAACTCCATTAGAGAGCTACAACTGACATTTACCATGTCGCTCGTGCTGCGCTGTGGGGCATTGCAGTAAAACAGGCGATTACTATAAATAATTTCGACCTTTTTAGAGGCTTGCTATGATGAATGAAACATTAGTTAATGCTTAAGGTTGCGTATTATTCTTTTATAAAGCCGTGAAAGTGGATTTACAACTTAGATATACGGAAAAAATATATCTATCGAAACATTGTCACCTGCTTGATAATGTTGGATATTATTTTTATGCCTCTCTGGTGCCTCAACGGTAGCTCGGTATAAGAGGTCACGGATTCGATTCCAAATAGGACTAAGTTGCTTCTTGTCTGGGTGTTCTGGATAGTGAGTGAATTACACAGGGAAGTAAGTACAACTTTGGTATATATATTATTATTATTATTTATGAGAAAACTTTACTATCGAGCACACACGCATCACTGAACATGAACTGGATTTTCCGTGGTTTACTGCTTAATGTTACTTTCAGATATAATTCAACAATACCATATACATAGGATATGTAGACCGAAACAACGAAACCTGGAGCTTTGTTTTTTTATATTTTGTGTCTCGAAACGGTTGCAGCACTAGCTTGCAATTTTCTGCAACGACTTTATTCTTTGGCGTTTCGGTACAATATTGAGTTTTAATGTTTAGTACTAAAGAGGTAGATTTAAATGGCAGTGGATATTGAAAGTGAAAATCTGTGTTGGTGGTCGGGAGGGCCCGGGGCGGGTTCCCACGAGTATCGCGCGCGCTGGAAAATTTATGTTTATGAACTGAGAAATCTGTCATAAGGGATACGAATGGCGTGGCTGAATCTGAAATAGCGTGAATAATTTTTCACACGAAACGACTCTTGGATTTTACGAGTGCCTTGCGATATCTCGCTTTGGGATGCGCTATGTCGAATTGCCAACTCATGACAAAAGACACGCGTTTGTTTGCAAACGGGACACACATTATATACAATGTATTTTTTTAACTGGGACAGTACCGGGGAATACCGTACCAAAACCGTAGGAGATACAGGCAAACGGTTACAGTATGGTACTTTTTTGTGAAAATAGTTTTATCATAGTCAATTTTTTGGTCAACTATGAAATTATTACAAAAAACCAACGGTCATATAAAAAAAACGGGTGTTATCATAACCGTAACTATATAGCAAAATTAAAGAGAATAAAAACTTCTATAAAATAAAATCTTATGGAAAAAAAATTGTGACGATAAACTATGTAAAAAAATTTAAAACGCGTGTTATTATATTCGTATCTAATTAATATTTCTATTTTCTCTAGAAACAATATTTCAGTTACATTAAAATAGATTATTTACATTTTTGCGTAAATAAAATATGTTAAAAAAAATGTGTAAAAACTTTTGCACGTTTATTCCTTTGGGGTGACATCGAAACCGAGTTGTTTATCATTAAAAAACAATACTCAATATTATACTTACTTTTATGAACAACTAAACTGTATCGAAAAATATACTATAGCAAATTTGTTTTCACAAAAAAGACCCAATAGTTATGACACTTTTCTTATATCTGCTACCGTGCCGAATTTCATCAACTGTCTTGGTTTAAAAAAACACTGTATAGGATTATGTGTCTATAAGACTTATTTATATGATAATGTAAATATACCAACTTAGATATCATATGTAACAAATCTGTTATTTGCGTTTGTTGTGATTAAATTGTATTATGGAAACAGTGTCGCATATTCAGAAGTTTAATGATCTGGCAACACTGTAAAAAATTTATGTCCGGAAATATGCCGGTTATATACAAATAGCTCGGCAGTTATATGACGTAACAAAGGAGATCACCTGTGTATTTATCTTAGACTATTGGTTTTTTTTTCAATCCTCTAAGGTATTTATAGACTTTGGACACGTAACAAAGAAGTTTGGCTGACTTGGCTGAATTGGCTACATCCTTTGCCTTTTCCCGTAACTAAAGAAAATTTTTAAAATCTTCAAGCACGCGCAACTGACTCCTTCACTACCTACTAGCTCTAGATGCTGAGCCATAGTTCCTTTTCACATCATTGACTTACAATTATATGGACGTCGGGTCCGCGCTAAAAAGTGTCCGCACTTGTAAGGCGCTAAAATCGTATACAGAGCGCGACACTCCGCTTTAGTCTTCATTTGTTCTACGGACAGCGCGATACTGCGATGACGTAACAATTTAAATTTCGAATAGGTTGACTTGGGACATTTTTTTCGTGGTTTTTGTATTAGACCCGTCGTCCATTTATTTGTAAGTCAATGTTTCACATTTACTTTGTTTAACATTATTTAAATTATTGCCATTTTTTCTATTATTGTGATTGATGTAGTATTGGGTGTAACATAAAACCTCTGTGAAACCAAAGGAATCCCATGGAAATATGTTTGGTCTGCAAATGTTGGCTATGATAATATCTTAAAAACCACGCGAACCTTAATCTAAATATCCTAGAAAGTATCATAGTAATATGTGATTGGCTGCAACAAATATATTTGTTTTAAATTTGTTTTTTTTTTTATGTTTTTTTTACCAAAACTAGGAGAAAACCAGGTAATAAAAGAAATCTAAAACACCACAAACCAAAGAGGATATAACCACTACGTCACAAACAAGTTTATCTTAGTCGTAAAATACTATGTGTTGTTATATTTATTTTCACTTTTCCTCCAAATGTTGGTTACTTTGTGTGTATTGATACTTGCTCGTTTCATATTGAGTATAAATGGAGGAAGTTCCCCGTCTCAAACAACTTATACAAACACGTCGTCTTCATCACCAAACGCTATCTCTAACGCAGATCCTAACGGTTTGTATTTTCATTTAATACATTTTTCGAAGACAAGTCCAAGATTTGCAGAAGAATATTACGAGCCAGTATTCTCATTGAAAAAGTCTAGATTTCAGTAAATAACACCATGGAACACGGTTTTGCTTTCTGAGTTGTCAATATCATTTTCTAATTGGTTCTGTCATAAAAACATGAAAAACTTTATTTCCAAATCAAAATTTTCAAATTTTCGCGTTTCTCTTAATATAAAGACTGTTAGGCAACATTATATTTCAAATCAATGGTAAATTACAACCAAAATTAAAAATTTTAGTAGCAGTAGACCTCCTATTGAAAGAGTTCGTCCAGGGAAGTACTGCCACCTTACCTGTTTCTGCCGCCAAGCAGTAACGTGAGCGTTACTGCGATCCAGTTTTGAAGGATACTGGTGAAATTACAAGTACACGGGACTTGTCAACTTATGTCTCGGGGTAACGGGCGCAATGGCAGTGCCCCTCAGATCTTTATGTATTAAAGCTCTGAGTGCCACAACAACTGTTATGGACAGGCGTGTCGCTTACTGCCAGGCCAACGACTTGTTCGTCCCGTCACTTGGTATACCTAATAAAAAATAATTTGTTAGTCATTTTTACACTTTGAAATTGAAAGTTAAATTGACCAAAAAAGATCCATTGGTGTAAAAAAAAGGTAATTGATCGATCCCTAGACACTTTTGATGTGTGTAATTGTGAAAATGACAATAATGTCAAATCATTTTAAAAGTGCAAATCGACACCAGCAATGAACACTGCGTTAACTTATAATTTGCAACTATTCACCAGAGCCTATAAAAGAGAATCTTGCAATAACTTTTTAATTTTCAAATTTAAATATGTATATTAATAAATAATAAATAAAAATCATTTATTGCAGACAATATACAGTCCATTTTGTTAGTACACTTAGAAGCTTTTTTTTTTTTTTTTGACGGGGGGGAAATCTTTATGGATACCCCTGAGCCCAGGGAGACTCAGGGGTTATGTGGGGACTCTCCCTCCACACTGGAAGGCCTACCCCACTAAACCCCCCCCGGGTTTCCCTCTCGCCGGTTGAGTCGGCGCCGTGGGATCAGTGAACATTCACCACGACGCCGCCCGGCCGCCCTAGCTTGCGCCAAGGCTCCCGCGCCAACGGAGGGACGAGTCGGTTGTCCTCCGACCCGCCCCCCAGACAAGTGAGGCCGTGCAATGCAGGCTCCGGAGTCCCTGTCCAGAGCCCGCTGGTCTCACTAGGGGATCAGGCGAGCAGCGAACTGCCTTCGCCTTCTCCCCGTACGTCTGCGCCGGAGCGGGTGCGCGTCCGCCGCGTCCTCGCGCACCCGCTCCGCGGAGTACACTTACAAGCTTATCTATTTTACCTACTTTTGGTCCAAAGTTACAGAATAGAAATAAAATTAATGAATGAAATGAATTGATTACATGATACCTGCTGAGTTCACCTAGCTCTCAGGACGTGAAGTTCGGTGAACCTAGCAGATCTGTGTCCCACCTATCCCCTATCATTTTGAAAATTTAAGTATTAATGACTAGATGAGTCAAATATTTTTTCTCTTTTAATTTTTTTACGCTAAGGATATTTAGTAGACTATTTTGTTTATTCAGTGCAATGTAAAGTAGGTCAATAAATATAATTATGAATCCTTTCTTATTTTCAGTTAACTTAACTAAACTGTTTAAACGGTTATTAAATGTAGCGGAAAGTCACCATGACGGACCGATATTCGAAAAAGGATTTGACCTCAACGAAACGGAGCAAAAAAAATTTAAAATATGGCCTGAAGGAAATATCCCATATTTCATTGACATGCTGTCTTTTGGTAGTATCCTTGTTTATTCAGTGGTGGTTTTTCGATGCAGTGCTTAGACTTCCATTTTTTAACCGTTGACGGCTGACTCAAAGGGATGGTATTGGTAATGTAATTCGTGGCTAAGGCTGTATTGTATGCTTCCCTTGTCATAACCAATGCATTTGCACTTTGGTAACTTTCGAGATATTGGCACCTGAAGTTTTTTTCTTTTAAAAGTGTTAAATTTTGCTTAACAATAAAAGTGAAACTTAAAAAAAGTGCATAGATATAAAAAATCCGCTTATAATAATAATAAATTTTATTTTTCAGACAACAAATTAGTTATTTTTGTTTTTCAAACAAACTAACGTTTCGGGTCCTTCGGGGTCACCCGTGATCCCGGGACTTATGATTTTGATCAAATTGGCGTTTGTAATAAAAAAAACAGCTTTGAGAACAGTCTTGAGTAATTAAGACTTAGTTTTATTTTTTAATTTAGATCTTTACGGAAGAATTTATCCGCTAATTTATGGACTTTACTGACTTCAATTAAACTGTGTGATGGTTTTCATTTTTATTTTTAAGATTTGGATCAAGAGAATACAATAATAGACATTTTTAATAAATATAACAAGTTGACTGGATTGAATTTTTATCGAATTGACGAAGCTCCTGAAGAGGACGCCAATTTTAGATGGGTTTTGTTCGCTAACCGAAAAGGATTTACTCCATGCTTGCAGTACACTGTTGATAATTTTACTAATGAAGGCATGCAAGTGAGCAAATTCAGAGATCTACTTATTGATAAAAACTTTGGGAGAACTATCGTACATTTGTCTGACGTGTCGTGCCGTGACGCCTCAAAACGGTATCGGTTTCTTACATTTAATATGGTTAGATTTATATTAGTGTGTCGCAATCTGAAGTGACGACTTGTGTTGTGTGTACGAAACCGATACAGTTCTGACGCATCACAACACGACACGTTAGACAAATGTAAATCCGGTTTAAGACTCATGAGAATGTGAACTGTCAGACGTAACGTTTCAGAAGAATAACATCTGCATATATGTGAAATAGTAAAGTAAATTATACAAAACAATCATCGTCTCAGTTTACACGACTCACTTTGGTAACAGTAGAGCTCTTTGTGAAATATTTCGTCCAGGGAAGAAGGTACTGCCACCTTTTCTGCTGCCAAGTGTTTATGTGAGCATTATTGCGTTGATTTTGAAGAATAATGGTGCTGGTGAAATTATAAACACATGATTTAGTCAACGTATGTCTCAGGGTGACTTAAAGTTCTGTGGTACCTACTCTGCAACTGCTATGAATAGGCGTGTCGGTTACCACCAGGCGCACGACTAGATCGCCTGTTTTTTCATTAAATACTAATTGATGGGACGAACAAGTCTATAGCATATATCTGTCTATAGCAGTTGCTGTGTCACTCAGAGCTTTCTCAGATCTTTGTGATTACAAAGATCTGAGACATAAGTTAACAAGTCTCATGTGCCTGTAATTTTACCAGCACCTTTCGAAACCGGAGCGCAATATAATGCTCACTCTACTATTTGGCGGCAGAAATAGGTAAGGGGTAGTGTTTGCCTGGACGAACTCCTTCACAAGAAAGCTCTACTGCTACTAAAACCCGCCCATTTCTCGTAGAGAGTGATTTTAGGTTGGGGCTGCATCAGTGCGGGAGTTGGTTTTGGGCCATTGGTTCTGGCGCTAGCGGGTGTCCCATCACAGCACAACTCTCCAGACAGAGATGAATACATTAAAATTATATGGGACAATATTGTACCTAGTAAGTGAAATGATTTCGTTTCAGCGTTGGTTATCTGAGACATGTGCACAAAACCCTATCGGTCGGCTACTTTCGAGTTTGCGACAAGAAATGACGTATGTATGTCGAGCGGTAAGGCTTCTTTAGTGCACCTCGAAATTTCTCGATCACCTTTGTCTAAACCTCAATGTGTAATATATACATACAGCCTGGAGCTGTAAATAGGTTGACACATTTGGGATATGAGCTGCACTTAATACACTGTCATAATAATATATTATATGGCTGATTTAACCAGCTCACTATGCCTGAAAGTATATGACAACAAAAAGGGAAACGTTGACCAAGATAGTCAGCGAAATAACTGACTACACAATCAATAGGGCTGGAATCCATTGGGAGTCCCTTTCCATTATGATACTTCAATCCATCTGTTTATAACGAACAAGATTGATTGCAGGATAAAGTAAACAAATGTGAATTATATGAAACACTAAAAAAGATAACAACTCATCGTATATGTATATGTTATCATATTTAATTTACTATAATTTTCACACTACCACACTTTTTTAACGTAATTTTCATGATATATTGCTACATACTGGTAGCCGTGGTACTCGTAACTTAACGGTTTGACCTACCACCTCTCCAGCGGAGGTCATGGGTTCGAATCCGGACTCGCACCTCTGAGTTTCTCGGAATTTACGTGCGAATACTCGATGCGTGCGAAATTTAATTTGGAATGTACCATAAGCTTTTTGGTTAAGAAACCTGCATATCGAAGAAAATTTACAACCCTCGAAAACGAGCGAAGTCCCCCAACCCGTATTGGACCAGCGCGTGGCGAACTATATCTTGAACCTTCGCTTGAGAGGAGACCCTTACCCGGAAGTGGAAGATATAAATGGGTTGATGATGATATTCCTGCAGTGACAAAGATGTTGTATACTTTAATACTTAGAGGAAAAGCAACATTGCCCTTACAGCAAAGTTCACAAACAACTTAGCTACACATAGGAAATGAAACTATTTTTCCGGATTTAAATCGCGTATATTTGTTTTTTCAAACAAACCGACGTTTCGGGCCCTTTACGGTTGACCGTGACCGGGACCTGTAAAGGGCCCGAAACGTCGGTTTGTTTGTTTGAAAAAACAAATATACGCCATTTAAATCCTACGTGTAACAATCGCGAAAACCTAAGAACTTTGCTACATGTCACTATTTCAGCATTATTGTCAGATTGCCGTTACCAAATGCATTATTATATATTTATCATATAACAATATTTTTTATAATATAATCAATTGATGTAAGGGAAATACACTTTATTTTGACTCAAATGTTTTGAGCTCTAGGATAAACAGATAAACTCTTATAAGATTATTAAATACACTAAACTTGTCGTTGTATTTAACAATCATTACGCTAAATTGAATACAATGTATTTGCCAAAACCGTTCTAAAGTTTATCTTCCCCCAAAAGATAGGGTAACAGTATTTCTTATAAAGGTGATCGTGTTCTCAAGATTTCACAACTATAAAGTTAGTTTTTTCCGCCATTTGGATTTGGAGCATCGTGGCGACATCTCTTTAAAATCGTATAAACTAATTTGTTTGTCTGTTTTATCGACTGAGATGCTATAATGCTAAATTCTTTAGATTCGGAGTTAAGGCTACAAATTCCAGTTTCACCGGTGGTCTTCTTACCCCTTCTGACCTTATGTTTAAATTTCTCTATGAACAGTGGAGTTATGGAAAATTATCGAAAACTTTTCTGTTTCAGGACGAAGACCTCTTTTTACAAAATTGAACAATTCAGATTGGTTATTCCACAACCTAAAGTACGATTTTTCAAGTGCTGGACATTTTGACAACATTATATTCGGTCTTAATGGAAGCGTTACTTTCAAAATCATTAAAGTGGTAGGTATATTTAGATAATTAAAACGGTTTGGTGTTCAACTCCGCCAACTTCATCCTTATTCTTTAACTGCCTTTGTGGCCAAACAGTTATCAAGCTAAATGATTATCACTAATATCTGGTTACTTACCACGGTATGACTTCTTTTTATTTTCCCGATATTTCGGAACGATTGCACGCTCCATGGTCACGGGTTGACATGGCCATGGAGCGTGTAACCGTTCCGAAATATCACCACGAAAGTCTTAAAATCTATATAGTTATCAAGCTGGTTGCCATGCAGAGGTCATGAGTTCGAAATATTTGTATGACCTACATTTATATCTCTCGTGAGTTTGTGTGTAACTTGTAAGTTTGAAGTGACGAGACGAATAGTTGTCCGCCTAGTGGTAAGCGATTTCGCCTATCCATAACATTAGCAGTGCTACTCAGAGCTTTAAATCGCAAAGATCCTAGGGGCACCGCCACTGCGTCCGCCACCCACCCTGACACACAAGTTAACAAGTTCCATATGCCTGTAACTTCACCAGCACCCTTACCCTTCCAAACTGGAACGCAGTGATTTTCACATTACTGCTTATCGACAGAAATGGGTAAGGTAGCAGTACTTCCCTGGGCGAACTCTTTCACAAGGAGCTCTACCGCAACTTAAATTGTTAAAAAGTGGTTGCGTGTGTGTCCATGGCATCCGCGATACAGGGTTTCCCTAGTGTAGGGCTATAAATGTGTTCGCTATTATTATTATTCTGTTCCAACTGCAATTTGTTGCGTTGCTGTCGAAATGCAACTCGTAAGTAACTCTTAATAATCCTAATAATTAACTTAAATTTAAACAGGACGATCGTGATACAAAAGTCGAGAGACACAACGGCTTAAGTTACCTCGACATAAAGAAAATAAAAATGTTGTACAGCTACATCAGCAGGAATCGCACCAACCCCCTGAACGAAACCAGGAGTAATAACAACGACACAGATATGGTAGATGATGGTTTGCCAAGGGCTAAGCCAAATAGGTACCTTGGTCTCCCTGATCCTACTACAACAACAACTACAACAACAACAACAACAACTACTACTACTACTACAACAACAACGGAAACACCAATGACAATTGATTATAGAAGGCGAAGAAATGGAAGACGTAGACGTTATGGAAGAATTCCTCGACGACTTATGGATGACATGCTGATGTTACTATTATAAATAAATGTTCTAATTTTTTAGGTGTTCTTATTTAATTTTAATGAAATATTTAAATGTTAGTGAAACATAATATAGTATCTTATATAAAAATACACTCAGACCTTTAAATCGCAAAGATTCGAGGGACACTGCCATTGCGCCCGTCATCCTGAGACGTAAGTTGACAAGTTCCATGTGCTTATAATTTCACCAGCATTCTTACCTTTCAAAACCTGTACGCAGTAATGCTCATATTACCGTGTTCTGGCGGCAAAAATATGTAAAGTGGCACTACTTCTCTGGACGAGCTCTTTTACAAGAAGCTCCATAACTACTAAAATTTATTCTCATTAGTGTATGTGTGTCTTGTACTTGTACTATATTACGAGAAAAACATTTATATTATTTCAGACAAGTGATATGTATAGAACTAACAACAAGCTCCAATACATTTACTATGCCATTGTCAAAATTTCAAGGCGTAGTGTGCTGTTGACTATACGTGGTATACACAGAACATATTTTTGCAATACTTATATCATAACATTTTTATGCCTTGTTTTAGTATCGACCCAAGCACTTTGGTTTACAGTAACTTGGCTTGAATTTATTAAAAAATTAATCGATATTCAGCTACACATCGATCGATCAAAATAATATATATTTTACAGGTAATTTGTTTTGGTTATAGTACCGTAATTAATACACTATTTACTTATATGTGGTAATATGTATGCAAAAGCACAGTGAAGGTACTAATGCTTGTGAATGCACTTTCCTCACAATTCTGTGGTGACACCCACTGACAACCACTTTCCCAGATCTCTTCATGCTTTCGCTAGCTGTTATCACCACGTAATCTTAATTAGAGGGTGTTAAAGTTATTCATGAGTTTATTTTGTTATTGTTGTCCAGAAATATGAGAACTTGTTCTCGGGGCAAATGGTTGCTACAAGCTTGTGTAATCACAGCAATGATTTCAGTCGGTAAGTAGTTATCATCATCCAATTTAAGAGCCAGGTTTTTTCAGTGTAACCTCCTCCACTCTTCTCGAATCATAACCAAGTCCTTGACCTCTTTATAGGTGCTCATCTTGATCTTCTTCATTGTCTGTTCACTATACTACATTCTTGGTCTTCATCTCTTTCTTGTTTCTTTTGTCTTCTCCTTAATTATCATTCTAAGAAATTCATCATTACGTAACAAATGTCCAAACATTTTCCTTCTTCTGTCTCTGTTGTATTCAAAAGATTTCTTTCTTAGGAAACAGTAAATATTTAACATTTAATGTATGACTACGCCTTGGAGTACGGTCAATGTATGTTGTTCAATTCGAAAGAAATAAAGATGTTTTAGATTTTTAATCTCCACACCCAGTTTAAATAACAAACTTATGCATACTATCGTTGATCACATCGTCAGCAGGTGAGGTGGCATATATAAAAAAAATACAATAGTCATTATAGAATGCAAAACATGTCTCATATTTACCAAAGAATAATCGATGATTGAGTAATTTCATACAGTTTAAAAAACATTTTCAGGGAATACATTTGACCTTTGTGAAAAATATAACACATTTGGTTTTAAAAGTAAGAAGCAATGTGTTCACACAGGAAGTACTTTATCCGAATCATGGCAGAACGCAGTAAAAACGTCTAAAGATGTATTAGGTATTGTTTCACATAAAGTCTCGAGTAAATTAGCCATATTATTTGCAAACATGCATTTGAATAATAAAATGGGCATACAGCAACGCACCCTACGAAACGGACCTAATACAGGTGCTGCTCAATTTCTTCCTGAAAATGGTTTATCGTCAAAGAAAAAAGTAACGTTAAAAGAAGTCAATCAAGAACGAGGTTTCGATATTACCAAGGAGGAAATGACAAAGTTCAAGATGTGGGATAAAGGTGTGATACCGTATTTCATTGATGAACACTCCTTCGGTAAGTTTTTGATGATCAAAGAAGACATGCACAGTCAATGCCCTTAGATATCTGACCACCTAGCCGCACTTACGGTTCTGAGAGCCTTCATACGCACTCAATAAATACACGTAACGGAATTCCGGCTTTTTGGTTGAAATTTGTATTTATATAACGTAATTAAAGACCAAATTGACTTAAAACCTTTCTTTACCTCTGAACTTTAGTATATATTGATTTACTGAAAACCAATTAGACGATTCTGAGGACTTCAGACAAAATGGCCGAACAGTGAGAAGGGTTTTTAAAGGGTTTAACATAAATTTCCCTCGAAAAATGTCAGAAAATTAAATGATTTAAGAAAAATTATAATCCAAAAAGATCTGGCAATATGACCAAATCTTAGCCTGGGACCGTAGGGTCTTTGAGAGTAGTCTCATAGCACGAAATTCGTAGTTACGACCGCTTCCCACTATGAATGACCTACAGACTTGAGTTTCGATCGAACTATAACAACGCAATTTAACAGTTTCGAACGGTCCCCTCTTATCGTTGACGAACTTCGAGAGTGGTTCCGTAGGCCGTCCAAAGTGGGAAAACGGCCTTTATTATGGATTTCGTACTTCAGAAGTAGGGTTCCTAATCTAAACAATGAAAAATTTTACTACTACTACATAGGTTCTGAAGGTGCTTCGTAGAGACGCGAAACACGTGTCGATATATTTTTGGTTGTGGTGTTTGTAGTAGTAGCGCCTGTGTTATTTATTTTATTAATTTTTGAGTGTAAGGAAAGTAATTCCTTGAAAAACATTCAGTGGATTCATAGATAGAGTCGCAAATTAATTTACTTCCATTGTATTTTTTTATATAAAATGTATGTGTATTTGTGTAGACAAAGTCCTGCGAGACAGAATTCGCACCAACCTGGACGAAGTGAACGCTGCTACAAGCCTTCAATTTATGGAGATTCCTCGGCCTCCAGACGACGATAATATGAGATATGTATTCTTCATCAATCGCAGAGGCGCCTTAAAGTGTGTTGATTATACTCCTAAAGATTTCTCCAATCAAGGGGTTCAGGTACCTATATTTAAATTTGATAGTAATACTAGTAAAGTCTCTGAGAACGAACTCAAAGTATTCAAAGTATTCACCTGAGCCAATACTGAAAACCGACCGCACGAAAATCTATTGGAACCGAACCATTATTAGAGAGAATTTCTGGTGGGCTTTATTACCCCACATGATGAGAGTCTTGTGAAAGCCGAAACCGAGAAACGTCGAAAGTATCTCGATCTGGCGCACGAGATCGTCGACATGTGGGATGTGGCCTCCACTGAAATAATTCCAATTGTTTTGTCCGCAAACGGGTTAATTCTAGTCAGTCTGGCTATAAATTGAGGCGGTTGATTTCTGTGGCGTGTCGCTTCCAGCATAGATGCAGAAAGCGGTCCTGCTCGATATAACACGCATTGATCGCCGGTTCTTGAACAGGTTCAAGAAGACTCAGGAATCCCTCACCCCGGCCAGTTGTGCCAATGTTTGGGAATATTCAAAAAATTAAAATTTATCTTCAAGTCCATGGATGATCCTGAGTAAAAAAACTATAATAAATATACAAAGAAATAATCTTTATTTCTTCAAAATATGATCACCTAATAGTGGCTGGTGCCTCATTTAAAGCATAGTCTGTGTCAGGAGGCGCCGCTCTTTCTTAGCTATGCGCTGTGTGCGCGTGAGCAAGCACGTGTGTTTCATGATTAGGGTAAAACCGGGGTTGGCCATAGTTTTTTCTAAACGCTGTCAAAATCAAATTTTAGATCTTACATTGCAAATCTTTATTTGATATTAAACTTTGAACAATTAGCTATTAATTATTTAACAGTAAAAAATTGTCTTTAGACCAACGTTAAAATTAGTTTTAAAAGAAAATTACGATTGGCTATCTCTTCCGAGGAGTCCGGGTGTAATGACCGTAGGATTATGGGTAAGATGGCCAGTAATGATTTCTAGACTTAGACAGGTCTTTTATTTGGTGTTTTGTTTTTTAAGTCTTCTTTTTTCTTCGTGTCGTCCAATTCTCAGTTTTCGTGAACCCAAATGTGGTACACAACGCATTCGAGCCGTCTTCGATAAGGGGGTTTCACAACAACAGCAGTTTTAATAGCTATCAAGTTCTTACGTCTTAGCGATTGTTACACTTGATGATATGAAACTATTTTTCCGGATTTAAATCGCGTTTTCAAACAAACCAAAGTTTCGTGAAAACACGTGAAATTTTGAGCTTATAACAAAGCATTGGATATAGACTAAGCGATAAATACAAAAATGATCCATATTTTGAAAAAATAACTTCAATGTAGTGTAAAACATGAACCCTCTAAAAACATTTTTGCATTTGTCTAAACAATTAACAAGGGTGATTATCACTAATATCACGTTTCTTACCACGGTATGATTTATTTTTATTTTCCCTAAAAAAAAACAAAAAGAAGTCATACCGTGGTAAGAGTCATTTAGTGAATAACCACGAAAGTCTTAAAATCTATATATTTAACAAGGGTTTTTACTTACTTTTCTTTTTTTTGCTCAGAATATTCGACGTACACTTGCACTTAGACACTACACGATATGAACTGAGCAACAACTGTCGCCATCCAGTTAGCGAATCATTGAAATATTGCGATTGGTCATCTATTCCCTATGGCCATCTATCCCGGTTTTAACCTATAGTACAACTTTTTTTAAGATGTTAATGCACAGTCGTGTCAGAAGTCAGACTTTACTAAAAATATCATCCCTTATGCATATGATCCCAAATCTTTTGTTTTACAAAATACTTAAGAAGTCGTGTGGTGGTGTCTGTGATATATTTGTCTATATTTATTTGGTGGTATTCTGATTGTGGTGTTACTTACCGAGTTGATGACAAAAAAGAATTCATTCTTTTCAAACTATTCGAGGCACACATTAAGATTACGACAAATATATATACACCTCATCGCGGAATCTAGTTTCATCCATTTTAGTCTTAATTTTTACCTATTAAAAATTCAAGATTTTCAGAGGGTAATCCTGGGATACGATTGCATCGACCTAAATACAGGAATGGCAGCCATTATTCTTACACTGGTGGGGGTGCCTCCTCAGCACAACGCACCCGACCGTAATAAACATATAGAAATTGTGGAAGAGAATATTATACCTGGTAACATACATAATATTTACAATTATATATGTTAGTGTCCCTCCTAACTGACTATCAACTAACTGACTGCCAAATCATATGTCTATCTTTTATACATTATATGAATTCATTGATAAAATTCTATTAATACATAATATATATTAGACAACATCGCATACGTTGCCATGATTCCAAAGTAAGTGACTAAAGCAATTGTGTTATGGAAATCGGAAATAATGACGGTTCCTAAAACAACCAGGCTCGAGACAATATAGAAAAGTTAGTTTCTACATTGTCCCGGTCGGGGATCGAACTCAAGACCTCAGAGATGGTGACACCATGAAAACCGGTGTGCAAGCCACTGAGGTTGTCATAAAAAAATATTTTTTTTTTAATTTAAAAAATAAAAAAAATAAAAAATACAAAATAATAATAAAAAAATATATTTATAATTGCATATTTTTGGTTTTTCTATATTGGCCAACTGTACAAAACAATTTTGCTTTGTGCGTGATTTGTATTTTCAAAAAAAAGGAGGAGATTCTCAATTAGCTTGTATTGTTTTGTATATATATTACGCGATAACTCCGACTTGTGAACCGATTCTGATGATTTTTTTTTGATGGAAAGAGGGTACCTCAGTAGTGGTAGTCCCGTTTAAAATTGAAGAATATATTCCACCTCTAAGGGTGGCAAACTAGGGGATGAATGACTTTTGAGGTCGGTTTTTTTAGTTCTCTTTATTGAGATTATATAATTTAATAGTTGTTATTTCACAGAATTCCTTTAAATATGAGCACTTAATTTTTTTCATTTATTATGTATACACGTTGACACACGTAGCCATATCTATAGTAAATAATGTAATTGTTATAATGATGCATAAATTAAATTTACTTGTATATTAACTAAGTAAAACATTAAAAATATATACGGGATCTTTAAGGTATCAATTAGAAGCTAAGTAAAATTTTAGATCGGATCCACACACTCACTTCCACAAGCCTACTGGTTTGATCTACCACCTGTTAAGCAGAGGCAGTAAGTTCGAATCCTGGTTTGCACCGCTGAGTTTTTCGGAATTTATGTGCGAAATTAAATAAATTTTTTTTTATTATCATAACAATTATATAATTATAACAATTTTACAGAAAAAGTACCTTTATTCACAAAACTGAAGGACGAAGACTGGCTGTTCCATGATGTGGCATACGACTTTGAAAGTGCCAGCCATTATCATTATCACAAGTATTCAGTCACGGGGCGCTCATCTATTCAGCCCAGGGTAAGAACAATATTTACGTCACTTGTACATACATATATATCTAGTTCCTTTTTTGAAGTACCTTATATGGAACAATGCAGAATTAGTTGCAAAATACGAATAACCTTCCAGGACCTATGTTACTAACATTGTAAGAGAAGTCCTGCCACCTTCCTATTTCTGCCGCCAAGCAGTAACGTCAGTATTACTGTGTTCCGGTTTTGAAGGGTAAGGATGGTGGGGAAATTACAGGCACAAGGGACTTGTGAACTTATGTCTCAGGGTGACGTGCGCAGTGACAGTGCACTTCAGATCTTTGCGATTTAAAGCCCTGGGTAGTACTGCAACTGTTATGGATAGGTGTGCAGCTTACCATCAGGCGCACGACTTGATCATTCGGTCACTTGACATTATAAAAAAGAAGATGGCGCTGGGGCAAAAACGTTAAAACCAAAAACAAGGATCTGCTACTGGCACATAGAGAAATTCATAAGATCTGCTGATTCATTCCGTCGATCGAAGGATTATTTTGTGTTCGGTATTTGTATGAATAATTGTAACCAACTAATGGAGCAATTTCACAAAAATAATCATGGTAGTAAGCAAAAAGTAACATGGTGATAAGCAATAAACTTAATTTTAATGCATTGACAAGTATGACTTTTTTACAGTCATGCTGTATATACTTCTTCATTTCTTAATTAACTGCCTCTGTGGCCGAACGGTTAACATATGCGTGGCGGACTGCCACCCATATGTCCCAGGTTCGATTCCCGGGCCGGGAGAAATATTTGTATGGACTATTATGTCCTGAAAACAAGTCATCTTGCACGTAGATCTTTGTTCTACAGATGAGTCGGATTTATTTCTTTCATGAGTTTGGGTGTATTTGTGGTTATCTATGTGTGTGTCCATGGCACCGGCGACACAGGGTTTCCCTAGTGCAGGGCTATGTTGAGTGTGTGCGTTATTATTATTATTATTATTACTTCTAAATATTGATTTACAGATGTTGGAAATCGAAGCTGCAAGAGTGGGTCAAGATAAAACATTCAGCTATTCAGATTTATTAAAAATCAACATGCTCTACAATTACTTAACTCGAGGTCCGAATGGTAAAAAGATAGCAGACTGCTCGCAAATGTTCCGACCTGGAAGAGATTTTTATAAATACAAGCAACTTAAAAACAATTTGAAGCCAAGGAAGAAACCCGCGGAATACACTAAGCAAAAAATATCTAAAGAAATAACGACTGGTAATGTAAAAGGTCAACATTCCGGGAGCGGATCTGAACATGAAACTTTTGACAATGAGGAATCTGTTAATGATAGCCTTGATAATTATTCAGGTGCTGATGTTGAAAATAAAAACACTGAAAAACCTGTGAAGTTATCCGGCCACAGACCGCAAGTGAGCGCTGAAACGCAAAAAAGATTGAAACTTAAACAGATAATCCAAAATGAGTCTGATTTTCATACCGAGGAAAGAAAATGATTGATGTTACATTAAGTCAGGGTTTCTTAACCTTTTTCCAGTCATGATACCCTCTCAAAATTTCAAAGATCCCACCAACAAACCCTGTCCAACATATTAAAAAAAAACAAGCTTTAGCTTTTTTTTACCAGCTTTTATTGTTTGCGATTAAACTTTACAAATGAAAAGTTGGTGTGACGGTTTCTGCTGCATATCGACTGTGAACTAGCAATCGGTACTATCTCAATTTTGACAAGTTTACGGGTGAAGAAAAAAAATGTTTGCGTCATTTATACAGCATCTGGTAAACATTTTTAAATATTTTTATTACACATGTATGTACACTAGGTATTTTTATTTAATAAACCAGATGTTATATAAATGAATTTTTCTTAATCCTGTACAGTTGTCAATATTGAAATTGCACGGTTACCAGTACACAGTCGATATGCTGAATTAGAGCCATAATTGGAACGTTAAAAGCACGGTGCCTATTTATTCCCAACATATTGTATAAAAATTTTTATATTAATGCATTGTGTTAGGTACGCTCAGCATAGACACGACGTTCATTACACGGACCCCTTAGGTGTCCATAGACCACAGGTTAAGAAACCCTGCATTCAGTAAATACGACGGACATTTATTTATGTCTGTAGGTATTTTATCGAGAAAATAAAATCACTTATTGACAAATAAGCATTGTTTTACTTTGAAACTATTGCCACAGTACAATAAGACAATGATAACTCCATAGAGACGTTGCAGCTTGGTTTGTATGTGTGCGCGCGTACCGCGTGCCGTGTACGGACGCATACATTCGCATAATCTTGTATACACATTGTATACAATGTGTAATGTATGTACGCTGGTCGTTTCACGCGCCTTTCGTTATTATGTGAGTTTCTTTTTTTTTTATTCTAAGTGACAAGACGACCAAGTCGTGCGCCTGATGGTAAATGATACGTCTGTTCATAACTGTTGGAGTGTCACAAGTCACAAAGACCTGAGGGGCACTGCTTCTGCGCCCAACACCCAGAAACATAAGTTGACTAGTCCCATGCGCCCGTAATTTCAGCAGCACCCTTACCTTTCGAAGCCGGAACGCAGTTATGCTCACATTACCGCTTGGCGGCAGAAATAGGTAAGGTTACAAAACGCGCAGTTTGTACGTGACGGGAGTGCACATATACAAACCGCGCTGTTATTTTGTGTTACCATATTTATCTTATGCATACTTGTCTATGCTATTTGCTCTATGAAGTTCATTCTACTACGAGGGTTCCAAATGTAAGATACCGGTAAAACGAAAAATTTAGTAGCTCTAGACTCGTGGGATCGGTGCTCCATTTCATTAATGTCATATAAACCTTAATGAGTAAGATTTAAATGTACTAGTCCGTTCCTTGTTATAGTTTGTTAAATTAATATAAGCAGACTATTTAACGACTTATTGATAGTTTACGATGTCGGAACGGTAATTGCATTAATGCAATTTTATGCATTTAATATCAAACTGACATAAAAGTAGTATTTGTTTTGTATAAACAATATTGATCGATACATAAGATTATTATTGCGATATGTATTTTATTTTATTACCATGTTCAATTTTGTAGGTTGGTATTGGTACAACATAACATTTATTTATGCCATGCTATTTCGCAAATTTTTTTATAGATGTATTACTTAAACATAATCAATAACTGTGATAACCTATTAAATTTTTATTAACTTCACAAGGTACTAACATAAGTGCTTTCTGTATAGCCTTTTCACACTATCGATTCTGACATCTAAAAATCTATAATTTTTCAGCAAGAATATGAGAAGTATTATCCTTTCAAGATGTTTGTTAATAGTAATTACTGTACTTTCTCCCGGTTAGTATAAATAATATTTTGTGTATTTTGTACATTTCGGCCTAAGTGACATTTTATAAATCCGTACAATAGATTATTTAAATATTATATAAACAAAAATAACAGTCATTCAAGTGTTCTTCTTATCTTATGGATGGCATACTTTAAATAACAGCAGTAGCAGTAGAGCTCATTGTGAAAGAGTTCGTCCAAGGAAGTACTGCCACCTTACCTATTTCTGCCGCCAAGCAGTAATGTCAGCATTACTGTGTTCCGGTTTTGAAGGGTAAGGGCGCTGGTGAAATTACAGGCACATGAGACTTGTCAACTTATGTCTCAGGGTGACAGGCGCAGTGGCAGTGCCCCTCAGATCTTTGCGATTTCAAGCTCTGACGACACTGCAATGGTTATGGACAGGACGCTTGATATTATAAAAAAAAACTTTATACGCTGCCCGTGGCACCAGTAGTCACCGAAGTGTGAAACATGTTTCACATCGGGTGAAAGGATTAATTAATCAGCTTAAAGTACTTGTCGATTGTTGCTCAGAATGTAGCAGACGTTGACGTGGACATAGGTACATCAACAGTACCTCATTCTATATATCTCATTGCGAGGAAGTTCCTTTCGTGGTTCAGGTGTTAGTTGTACCTATTAAAAAATCACACTCCGTTTCATTTCTTGTGTTGCCGTGATATTTATCCCGTATAGGAATAATTATATTAATAATAATAACAATTTTTTCAGAAGGTGAGGGATTTGTACATATTAGTTTCTCCAATCCTTATACAGATATCAAAAACCAAATGGTAAAAGTGAGAGATAAAGTGACATCGGTTGTGGCTGATTTAGTATTTAAAGCGAATGGCATTGATACATTGTCTCTGCCGATTAAAAAAAAACTAACGCTGACCGATGTAAATCAAGAACCAGGTTTCAGTTTGACTAAAGAGGAAATGGTCAAGTTTAAGATTTGGGATAAAGGCATCATACCGTTTTTCATCGACGAATATTCTTTTGGTAAGTTCTTTGTGATTTAAATATCGAAGCTTTAGTACGTTTGCGGAATGACACAAGTGTCCGAAGTGTTATTGCATCTCTAGGTGTAGGGGAGCGTGGGGGAATGGGAGCCTGCTAAGGAAACTTGACAATAAAAGTCATAATTTATGCAATTTAATTTTTTATTACTTATGAACGTACGCTTCACATACGAGTATCTGGGTACTAAATAATCACAGAAAAAATATGTAAATAAATAAATATGCTCTCATTACCCCACAGTTCGAAATGGGAGCCGGTACGAATCCCGTATGTCAAATGGGAGCCATTATATATAATTAATCTGAATATTCGTATTTTCTCGTATTTGAATCGGACGTTGTGCACAAACGTCATCCGAGTTTTCAAGATTGTTATAGTCTCGGATTCGGAACGAATGCGAATAGGATGTAGTTTGCATTCGCGCTTACAATATTCTGAGAATACTATTATTAGTGGATCTGCCCACGGTGCCACGCTGTTACGGCGAAACGACAGACCACCTATCACGAACAAGGCGAGACGTGTTATGTAGCATACCAATCATCAACGTGCAGATTCATATAGAACTGTGCCATACAGGTGTTGCTGGTGCGTTGTGTCGTCGCATGATTACAATGCACCGAGTACAACACGAGTGACGTGACGTCGCAACGTTGACGTCTTCAACTAAGAAAACAAATCACGATTAACTAGATTTAAATTGGTTTATTCCGCTCAATGTCAAAATACAATCTTTATAATATTGTACTGCAAATACGATACGATACCATATTACAAATACGATACGACACCATGTTACAAATAGCGGTTCTTATTAAAGACAACGGTTAATGGTATTAAAATACAAAGTATGGAAGCTAGACGGGTATATCTTACATGGCTATCAAAAACAAGATGGTATAATATGATAATAGGTAATTAGGATTACAAGTAGCAGTAGAACTCCATGTGAAAGAGTTCGTTCAGGGAAGTACTACCACGTTGCCTATTTCTGCCGCCAAGCCGTAATGTCAACATTACAGCGTTCCGGTTTTAAGGGGTTAGGGTGCAGGTCAAATTACAGGCACATGAGACTTGTTAACTTATGTCTCAGGGTGGCGGGCGCAGTGACAGTGTTTGTCAGATCTTGCGATTTAAAGCTCTGAGTGGCACTGCGACTGTTATGGACAGGCGTGTATTGTGCGTTAATATTATTAAAAAATGTAGTTCCAATTTATAATAGTATGTAGTACAACGCAGCATCACCGCTCAGGCGTCGCAACGCCGACGCAATGCATTGTGTGGCATCACCCTTATTCATAGAATATCAACACCATCAACATCCTAGCAACGTTACTTAACAGCCTTACTTTCTGTCATGCGCTGCATAGCCGACTGGAATATGGCCACCAGCCGCGGCTGGCTCGTCTTCCTCTTCACAATTCAGGGCGAGTCACTCCCTTACATTGCGTCTCCTGGTATATCTCCTGCATGGGTTTGGTGCCTATGTTCAAATGTTCAATGAATATGACTTAAGTCTGTTGATAACTTACTTATATTTGATGGAAATCTGACATCAAAGATCGGTGTAAAGTCGACCCAGCTGTGAATTTTTAATTAAAAACTTTCTTTACCAAATATTTCCTCCTCATAATCTACAAGTACGATTGATGTTCCTTATTTCTCTGTTTTTTTTTTATTTTATACAAGTAAAAATAAGTATAATAGTCGTTGTTATTTTTATTGGACTAATATTCACATTAATTTTAGTATATTATAATAACAGGTTTCTATTTTGTTCAGACAAAGTTCTGCGCGATAGGATTCGCATGATTTTGGACGAAGTGAATGCTGCTACAGGTGTTCAGTTCATGGAAATTCCTAGTCCTCCAATCGATGAGAAAGAGAAATACGTACTGTTCATTAACCGTAGAGAAGCCCTACGATGCGTCGATCACACAACTAATGATTTCACAAATGAGGGAGTACAGGTAAGTACTTTGTCTAGTTTATTCAATCGTACATACAAATCAAAATTTGATAAATATAGCGTAGCGTCTTAGAAGACGCTGGTGCGAATTCAACCGGATTGAAGGATTTGTTTTCTAAGTGTTCGATGTTTGTATTAATATAATTGATAATTTTTTTTATTATACCAAGTGAGCTTAGTAGCAGTAGAGCTCCTTGTGAAAGAGTTCGTTCAGGGAAGTACTGCCACCTTACCTATTTCTGCCGTCAAGCAGTAATGTGAGCATCACTGCCTTCTGGTGTAGAAGGGTACGGGTGCTGGTGAAATTACAGGCTCCTGGGACTTATCAACTTATGTCTCAGGGTGACGGGCGCAGCGGCAGTGCCCATAAGATCTTTGCGATTTAATGCTCTAAGTGGCACTGTAACTGTTATAGATAGGCGTGTCGCTTACCACCAGGCGCACGACTTGTTCGTTCCGTCACTTGGTATTATAAAAAAAAGTAAGCGACAGCCTGTACATAGCAATGACAGTGCCTCTCAGAGCTTAAGGCTGCCTTTCCACCACAGATGTGCGGGGTAGCGAGGCGGTGCGAGGATGCGTTACGGACTCTTTTCAGCTATGCGCGGGCGCGGTACGGTGTGGTGGGTTGAGCGATGGCGATGTATCACTGTCAGTTAGTGTCATAGTTTCAGTATATCTAGTTTCCTTCACCGTTTTGCACACATTACTCGCCCGCATCCCTCACTCACATTCCTCGCACACATCTCTGGGTATTTTGTGTGTGCTAATACTTAGCTCCGCTAACCCTTTTCCACCGGAACTGCGCTAAGAAAGGCTAGGAAAATGAAACAATCCTTAATATTGTTGGTCAAAGAACACAATGTCGAACATCATCGCGTAAACAAGTCTGCAGTCTGCGAGCATGTCATGCTTAGTGGATGGGAAAAAAAAGATGTCATGGATAAACCTACACATTCAACAGAGAAGATGGATTTCTCCGTACCACCAGTTTGGGATCCAGTATATCCTCTGATGAAAAATCCCAAACAGATATAAGACTGCTGTACTAATTAATATGTTTTATTTTATTCTAATTTCGATTATTAATCATTAATAAATTGTTAAGTAAAGTCAGTAAAAAAATGCATTCAATAAATAATTTGTAAAACTTTTGTAACTGTGGTGAAAAAAATAGGGTGGTTTGCTTTAATATTAGACATAACTGGTTGATACTATACAACCTCAGTCAACCGTGACCATGGGACCTGTAAAGAGCCCGAAACGTTGGTTTGTTTGAAAAAAAAAACAAATATACGCGATTTAAATCTGGAAAAATAGTTTAATTTCTTATTGGTGGTTGTTTTCCTCGCACACCGCCTCGCTACGTCGCACATCTCTGGTGGAAAAGAAGCCTTAAATTTGTTGGTAGGTCAATGCTTAAATCGTTAAAATGTGAGAGCGCTGTCACTGCGCCCATCACCGAAACAAGTCGCGCGTCTTCCGAAGAATTCTCGCCCAGTGTCGAGAATTCTCGCAGCTACCGCATCGTATCTAGTTTGTACGTTACATAATTGACAAAAGATTCATTACGCTATGTACAATTCCGTTACGTGGCAATGTAAATTAAGCTTTGATGTAGTAACGCGTCTACTATAATGATAATACATAGATGCAACAAAATATATCTATTTTAGAGAGTAGTCCTGGGGTATGACTGCATTGATCTCCAGACCGGAATGGCAGCTTTGATCCTCACTCTTTTAGGGGTGCCTCCTCAACACAATGCACCCAACCGCGATCACTATATTGAAGTTATCACTAATAACATTATACCAGGTAAGTGCCAAAGCCAATGTCATTCATAGTGCTTATTTTGTAGAATAGGTGCAGAACGAAAACAATAAGTACCTCGTAGATTTTTAAATTGATTGATAACATCAACATGCTCAACCTATCAACATGCACTTAGTACGAAATTTCCATTACATATTTATTAAGTTAGTTACCAGCGTATTTCGTTATGTCTCAAGCAAATAGGGGCGAAGTAGCTAAGGATTTCCGTTAAGAGAGACCTAAAATGACATTTTGGTGCTCTTTGTTCACACAGAAAATCGGATTTTCTGGGAAAAAAATAAAACAAATTCAACAGGTTTTTATCATTGATAATGATAACCGAAGACCCTGGTAGTAAACTAAATATGACTGAGTAAACTTCGCTCAATAAAAAAATAACATATTATATAATTTTACTTTTTTTACTACGTTCACCTACGGAAAAAAAGGTTCATTCGATTTTTATTAGAGACACTTCAATTAAATTTTCTCTCTCTCTCTTTAATAAAGACGTCAGCTTATTTTACAGTAAGAGAGTATTTATTTCTAAAAAGTAAATGTATAAATATAGCCCAATGAATTTATCCGCGTCTACCTCACACGTTTCACAACCACAATACATTTCGGTTTAAGGAAGAACAAAGACAAAGTAACAGACAGCTGGTTCACACTCACTACAAATGGCTATAGATTGACGAGTTGCTGTTGTAATTTCAAATTTTTTTTAGGGAAGATAATGTTGTTTGTATGGAGAGTTTATTGAAAAGTACACTACTGCCTGGAACGGTCTTCCCAGTATATGTATACTTTATGTAGAGAATTTTGAACTAACATTGATCTCGCCTTCTTGACTTTGGAACGATTACGTAAGATAATCAGCAAATTCTTTACTTACATACTTTCTAATAGCCTTCAGTTATAAACTCTCCATATAAACGACATTTATTTTGTCTAAAATATCTTCGAAATTACAACAGTCTCTTCGGAACTTACTATCTTTGGAAGGGGCCTTAACCTACCAAGGAAATCTTGTTTAGCCTCGAAGTAGATTTGCAACAAGCTAAGACCAGACAAAAGCTGAGTTAGATAGAGGTCACAGAGTACAAAAGAGAATCACAAAAGGATGGTAATGATAATGTACCAAACAACCACACTATTTACCTGGTCTAAAACTAGGCAATTCCCTATGAGTATCAACCAGAAATGGTCCAAAATCGGGGACAAAAACAACGATTACGAAATTTTGTATAATTCCATGCATATTAGAAACTAGGGGACCCTGGGGATATCTAACACTCAAAGCGCAAACTATTTAAAAACATAAACACAACGAAAATTTAATGTTTACTATTGCGCGCCCTCTACCGGTCTAACGTCGTACATGGAAAATTCGAGTAGTTTCGTAGGGCATTACGTTTATCTAACCTAAAATTTAATACTCAAACTGATTTTATTTATTTATGTTACAGACAAACTTTCATATTTTACAAAACTACAGAATACAGATTGGCTTTTTCATGATATAGAATATGATTTTGAAAGTGCTAGCCATTATCCATATCATATGTATTCGGCACATGGTGCGTCAACAATTCGTCCTAAGGTAAAGTGAAACAGCTTATAATATCACAGATATTTACGCAAATCGTTTCGTACATTGCTTTTGCATACATGCTAACCATTTTAGTACAAAAAAGCCGCGGTAACTTAATGGTTTGTTGACCTAACGCCTCCCAAGCATTCGAACTCATAGCCCCAGAGTTCGAATCCGGAATTTATGTGCGAAATTTAATTTGAAATTGATCAATTAAATTGGTCAAGGAAAATATCGTGATGAAACTTGCACGTCGAAAAAGGTTGTGAAGGGTAGTGAACCCTCGGAAAACGTGTGAAATCGTGATCCGCATTGGGGCAGCGTGGCGGACTATGGCCTAAACCCTCGCCTGAAAGGAGACCCGTGCCCAGTAGTGCTATGTATAAATGGGTTGATGAAGATGTAGTAGTGTCAGGTGATAATACTAGCATTTAATTTTGATTGACGTTTTGTGTGGCAATGTAATCCGGATTTATATTACGAATAAAAAACTACTGCAAAAGTTATTTTGTCATCATTAATATAACCAATATCTAAAAATTTGAGTGACATTTTTGTAACGCCCTGTGCTTGCTACAGCAAGAATTGTTATACATGCCTTCACAGTTGCTTATTATTGTACCAACCTTTAATTAAACGTACAAAAGTATTCTGCCATTCAATGCTAAAAGCTGGAACTTCATTTACTGCCCAATAATAATTACTGCAAGCTAGTGGAGTAATTTCACAAAAATAAATTAATATCACTATAGTAAAACATCATAATATTAATTACAATCAATATTATCGCCCAATGTAAAAAAAAAATAATTTCAAAATATATGTTTTATAAAATTTACCATTTTAGTGGCACGTAGATGAAACTAGTCCTGTGGGTGAAAATAGAGCGCTTAGCATTAACGATATATTAAAAATCAAAATGCTATATAGTTATATTATGAAACACTCAAGTGACAAGATGCATGCAGCGTGCTCCCATATGTTTCAACCGGGAAATGCCTTCTCGAACCATCAAGCACATAAATTTAAGGTCATATCGGCTAGACAAAAACCCAATAAATACCTCGGCAACGACCCTTTCCAAAATTTGAGTGAAAACGATGGTAATGATGACGTGTATACTTATTAAGACGGTGAACACGACGAAGAGGAATCAAAAGACAATCATGACAAACACGATACAGATTTTCAGAAAAATAAATTGAAAGAACGTGTTCTAGATAATCGGATTGAATTTGCTAACAAAATAGAAAATAGGAAACCAACAGACCAAAATGGCAGAAATACTGATATTAAAAAAAGCCATTGATGACACTGATGTTGATGAAAGCACTGAAATATGTGACTGAAATGAATGACGTTGATTGAATGATACTGAAGTGGACAAACAACAGTAAAATCAAAATAACGAGTTAATTTAAGTGAAACGTTGGTAAAAAATAAAACTTCAAAAAATGAGTTCAAAAAACCTAACATTCGCACCGAAGAAAATTAAACAATCAAAAAATGTTTACTAACTAAAGAGAGTTGATATTTGTAATATATATAAAGAAAACGTTATTACCTCTTAGCTAGCTTTTTCGGGACAAACGGGTGATCTAATGAGTTTAACTGAAGTAAATGGCAAATTGTAAGTAAAGAAAGAATTTAGCATGAACTTTAATATACAAAAATTTAATACATAAACAATATTTATCACATTATTTGCATGTTTGTATTTCTCGTTTCACATAACAAGTTTTACATAAGACCTCGCAACACCATTTGAATTCGCATTTACAATTCTCAGTTTCTTTGACTGTGGCTTGCGCGTATCCCCGACGACAACAGAGTTGGTCGCAGCTGTCTGTACCAGCTGAAGTAATGTTGCATTGTCGGCCTTGTGTTCCAAGGGAGCCAGTTTTTATATTGGGGTTGCAGAAATCTGGAGATTCTTCGGAGTATATAATGTCTTTCTTGCCGGGAGGCTTAATACTGGTGCTCTCGGGCAAGAAGTTGTCTCCGTCGTTGCTGGCAATTACCTGTTGAACAAATTTATTTCATTATGTAAGTTTGGTTTGTCGCACTATTTTCTACCTTTTTGTTTAGGTTGTCAATTGTGGACATCTGCAACTTCATTCACTTTTAAGTACTTTAAGTAGCATTACTACCTTTGTGTTGCTATTAATTATCTTCATTTAACCAACGAAAATCATATGCCTCTAAACTCATTAAAGACTTCCTGTTCCAAACTTACCTTAGCGGCACCTTCAAATCGATCCCTTAAAATATCTCCAACTTCTCTGAAGGTGGGCATCCTCCACCAACACGTGCGGAGAGTGCACGAACCAGAGACGCCATGACACTTACATTCCACTTTCATGTTATTTTTAATGGCCTAAAAATAAATGTAATTTATTATATTTTTCGGCTGCAAGTCAAAACCTGATAATGCTCAATATAACATCGGGCTGGGATAAGTTTCATGTCACGTCTTTGTTAAAATATTACCGAAAATGTTATCATAGTCATATGTACAATAGTACCCGATATTGATCCGTTTTAGATACACAAACAGTTCATTGGATTTAATCGAAGTCCCTGACGGTAACATTATAGGTAGACTTCATGTGAAAAAATGGGAAAAGTAGTTATGTGGTCTTCAATAAAAATTATTACTAACCAACCTCCCAGCGTTGTGGTTATGGAGTTTGATCAGCGTCTTGATATCGCTTCGCTTCCTATACCTGCTATCCATAAACTCTCTAGATTTCTTGAGGCCAAAGCGCACGTTGTCGCTGCACCCCCCCCACTGCCACCGATCGGTCGGCACAGGGGAGGGGGGAAGAATTGGCTGCCTTCCACGGCGGGACTTTGGTATACCCTAAAGAAAAATGCATATAATAATAACAATAATAACGCACTTACTCATAGGGACACCGCGACACACTAGAGAAGTCATGTATCGCGGGTGCCATGGACACACACATAGACAACCACACAAATTACACTCAAACTCACGAGAGACCTCTGCGTGGGAGTCCAGTATGGTAACCGTTCAGCCACAAATACCGGGGAGACAACAAAGTTATAACCTTCAAATGGCTATCGTCGCCTTACATTCTCAAACTCGTATCTTTAAACACAAAGTTACTGAAATGCAAGAAATGGATTGTATATACAAATTTTGCAGGCTGATTTCACGTCACATTACCTTCATATTCACACACTGGCTTTTACCTATTCTTAAAGTAACGCATCCAAATTAACACCCTTGATAAGAAATTAAAACAAATAGAGAGTGTTGCCAACTCCTGAATAATCACTCTTTTAAAGATACGAGTTCGAGAAAGTAAGGCATCGTTATGTAAATTGTCTAAACTAATAGACGTCAAAAATTAGGGTGGTTTTCACGATTTTAAGAAAGGAGTTGGTTTGTCCATGCAATCACATACGATTGCCGTATTTATATTTTATAGAGTGTAATGCTGTAATCGACTCCATACAAACTAATGCTATGCTAAAGTTGTAATGACGTGTGTCGCAAGGAAAGGCACCACCGTATGAAACCCGCCTGAGAGAGTAATGTAATCCTAAAGATTATCGCTGAGGTTGTTGTAAATATATCATATAACACGACTCTAATAATGTCGTTTCGCTTTCTCTAAGATAAATTCCAAAGAAATGGCATTTCTAGAGCCGTAAATATGTACCTTTTCGCAAGAGCACTCCAGAAGCGATCCAGCGGTGCAAGCTCGCGTAATAGCGAATGCTACACCGGCTGCCGTAATGGCATTTACGAACCCCGTTTCTCTTGTATCTGTTGACAAAATATCACAAATTAGGCCTATTGTTTATAAAACCGAAAAAACTCATATCAAATATGCTGTTGAATCTTTGAAGTTTATAATACTGCTAATAATTTTAACTAGAAAGATTAAATGGAAGAAAGTTGGGATGTCTATTATTAAATCACGCCGGATTTGAATGACTTTGTTGGCTAGATAGTTTGTTACCTGTAATAGCTCTTAAGCCTTTTAACGTGAACAAAATCGAGTGTTGCTGTTCATGATACAATATTTATTTTCACTTGCACTAAACTTAAGTGAGTAATTCTCAGGTTAGTTTTTTCTGTCTAATTTCGGTGGCACTTTTAATAATTTAAGTAGAATTTTAGAAATTTATCGTGAATACTACACAATATTTCAGGTTACTACACTCGATTTCTAAATAATGCCATATATTCTACAATATTTAAATATTCGTATGTCGAATCGTAGATGTGGGTCAACAAGCCGGTAAACTAAAATGGGACTGGGCGGTTCACGTCTGCCGCATGTCAGACGAAGGTCACCACAGAATGGATCCCCAAAGATAGAAAACGACCATGCGGCAGGCCAATGCGTCGATGGAGAGACGAGCTAAACGCGCATCTAAAGGACTGGACCTCAGTGGTGCAAAACAGAGAGGTGTGGAGAAAGGGGAGGGCCTGTGCTCAGCAGTAGGACAGTATAGGCTTTAAAAAAATTTAATATTAAAAATTGCCACCGAAATTAGGCAGAGAAAATTAACCAGAAAATTACCCAAGTGCACCTTAAACCAATGCTTAAATTTATAAGAAGTCTTAACACAATGTGTTAACAGTGTCTTTTCCATTGCAAGCATTGGTTTAAGACATACATAGGTACTTAAGTTTAGTGCACGTGGGTACTACGGTGTTATAAAAAGTTTAAGTAAAATTTTACGGTGTGACTCTACTCGTGATATTAAACAACTTTCAACAAATCTGAATTACAACACAATACGCAATCAACTGATAAGACTAAGATTGTATGGAAAGTTGATTAACTTTCCTGCAAATCAGATATGAATTCCAATAGAGAAAGTTGTTAAGTATCAAGGGATAGTCACTTCAAGAAATTATATCACTTCAGTCTATAGTAACAGCTTCACTCTTTAATTAAAACTACTAATGACGCTCTTATAGAATAGAATAGAATAGAATTATTTATTTCGGACCATGATCCATAATAATGTTAGTAATACAGTAAATTTTACTTACGTGCTATGGTTAATACAATACAAAATTACTTAATTTTAGTGAGAAGTGAGCCTAGACCACTACCCTACGCACGTGTAGTTGCACCCAATGTAGTTGGTAGGGGCAGTCCAGCCTATTGGCAACAACGGTTAGGATGCTATTAGCGCTGCCGCGCACACGCATCATAAGCGAGGCAGCCTTCTTGCTCATAATGGCATGAAAGCCATCTGTGTGCGCCTCCGTGAACATGCCGGATGCACTACAGTGTCGCGGCAGCTCCATCAGCATCCTAAAAGCGTTGTTATATTTCACCCTTAATGTATTCAGGGTTCTCTGCGTATACTTCACCCACAGGCTACTTATGTAAAAGTTTTGGCAATATGCTTTAAACAATGAAATCTTTACATCTTTGGTGCATCTCCATGTCGGCATTGTCATGCAAGTTATCGGTTACCCAGTGACCCAGGTATTTAAATTGAGAGATACGACTTATCTCACTACCATAGAGAAACACCGGCGGCACAGTTCCAACAGAACCTGCCTTCGGCTTAAAAACTAGGAGCTCGGTCTTTTTCGTGTTATACCAGAGTCCATGAGCTTCCGCATACGTCTCACATGTCCTGAGCAGCTTACCAAGTGCACTGATCGCAGGAGTCAACTTATAAACCTATCTATTGCTCATTCACAATACTGACTTCCCTGAGAAGAACGAACAAAAACCTTTAGAGGTTTCTTATTTTAAATAAATTTAAACGGTACAGAATATACTTTGAATCAACGAAATTTATGTACTTTGCTTTGAATCAAATTTGTGTGGCATTTCAATTTTATAATATTATTTTATCAATTAAAAGGCTTTTAATGTAAGTTTTAAACTTAGGAAATGATAATTTTAATTTTAACAATTCCCCAATAAAATAATCTTTTATTTGAGATAAACCAAATCGTGGTACCACGAGTTTGGACTTATTCTTAGGTTAATAATTTTGGATATCTTCTTTCATAATGAAATTATGTATATTTGCTAAGATATACAAAATATTTGATTATTTATTTAATTTTCTTTTTTAATATTATTAATGTCTTTGCGTTCGCATTTAGGCAATGAAAGGGTTGGGAAAGCAGAATTACATGTTATGGAAAAGGTACGGAATATGAATGAAAAAGGATATGGCAGGTTGGGTAGGTGAGTAGCTATTAAGGTTACGGCATACATATTAAAGTTTGGTATTATTATTTTCGATAAATAAGGTCAGTACATAATATACATCTTTGTTACATGAATACCAATACACTTGTTATGAAGGTGATAGCCAGGAGTTCAGTTATGAAAGCATCGTGGTCAATTGAGGGGCAGGAGAACAAGATATGATTAATGAAGAGAAGAAGAAGATATGATAAAATATGATCATTTTACGCAGACGTTAGTGATAACTGTGGCTCTACCATGAGTTTACTTTGACAGTTCTCGCTAGCGACAACGTAAAATATTTGTATACAAAATATTACTTCTTCTCGTAACCGCTAGGGGCGCTGTATAATTTGCCAACAAAATTGTGCAGTAATTTACGCGGTCGCTAGCGACAACTGTCACAGTAAATTTATGGTAGAGGCACTGCTCGTCATTGTAAACTCATTAGTTACTTTATGTGTTGTGAGGAACGTTGTATTGATCTATGTACAAATACAATACAAAGTTGACCTAAAAATTAGTATTCACGCGACAGCAGTTAAACACCGATGGGTTTTGGTTTTACGAATCGAAGGCCTCAGCCATAAACATTTACCGACTACAGGGACATGGAACGAGTGGCTATCTAAAAGCAATTCTGTAGCCTGCATTATGGCTGGCCAGCTTCTTTTGGACCCAGAAGTGATGGCACAACATAACATATATCTTCAATGTATAAACTATATATCTTTCGGTTCCATACAAGGTTTAAGGTGACAGGACGAGCAAGTCGTGCAACTGGTGGTAAGCAACGCGCCTGTCCATAACAGTTGCAATATTACATAGAGCTTTAAATTACAAATATATGAGGAGCACTGCCAATGCGCTCGTCACCCTGAGACATAAGTTGACAAGCATAGACATAGGCTTGTCGTAATTAGTACGGGCCGAAGGTAGGAACAAAAGTGAATTGTTTCTCAAAGACATAGAGGGAAATCTCATTGATATATGTAATAGCGGTTCCGGACAGTCAATTGAGCCCGATGCTATTTTTAGTAAAAACATTAGGTCATTAATATCACGACGCATTTCATGTAGTAAGAGATGATGCTTCATACAGAGATTGTAATAATTTTCAGAATTGTAACAGTCCTTTGTACAGTCGATACCCTAAAATACCTGACCCCTTGGTCAAGGATTTGGTTCTCACCAGATAATTGTGAAGAAAAGTTATAAACATAGTTGGCATGGCGTCTAGCACGGTTTGCTGGAAGACGTTGGTTTGAATCCAGCCGGATAGAAGGTATTTTTGTAAGCGTTCGATCTTTATATTTTTATGCACCGATTTCAAAGATGGCCGAGAGTAAAAACAAACGTCAAAAATAATGCAAATTTAAAAGAATAAAAAAACAAACAACATGAAAAAGTGTGTGCTTGCGCACTTGAGTCCAGATATATACCTTAATTAAGCGCCCCGTAAACGATCAAATAATTTGTCAAATTTTACGAGTTTGTCAAACTTTTTGAGACTTTATTTGCGTGTTTGATGTGTTTGATAGAAATCTAGACTGACGGCGTGTTTGACAAACATATTGGAAGGTATGCTTATGTATGACATGAAGGTATTTTTAGGTATGGCATTATTAGGTATGGTATGAAGGTATGTTTGTCAAACCAAACTTCTGTTGTCGCCTATGACAACAGAAGAATTCTCGCGCATGCTCGAGAATGCTCGCTCATTCCACGAAAGATATTGGCTCGTATCTAGTTTGCACGTTACACAATTGACTATAAATTTAATTATGCAATGTACAATATCCTTATAAAAATTTGCTTCCGTTCCTCCGAACCGAGGATAAATAAATCTAGCTTACCACGCCTGGTGGTAAGCGACAGTTATTCTCACAAACAACACGCCACGGCGCAACTTGTCCAACTCGTTGTTGATATCATAAAAAAATACCGCGAGGTTTTGACATATCAAATATACACGATAAAACAAAGACTTACAAATTTAATATAAAAAAATATTTTATTTTGTGTTTATTTTATTTAATAAGGTACATCAACAGAAAACGTATTACACTTTCTTAAAAACTTAAATTATTATTTTAATTTCTACTACAGTTATATCTCAATAAGACGTACCTACACAATATTCATAAAGTATTTGTCGTATTAGATTGATAATCAATTTGAATTTGGAGTAATTAGAATTGATTCATGTAACTATAAATTAATTTAATTATCATTTAAAAGCTATTATATGAGTTTATGCCATAAATTTGACACATATCAGTAGACACTAACTTAATCAATACTAAAACACAACATATTATTGTACATTACAATTACCTGATAACGATTGCAATACTCCATGTCTAAACAAAGGCAATGACTGTAAAGGGCCCGAAACGTCGGTTTGTTTGAAAAAACAAATATACGCGATTTAAATCCGGAAAAATAGTTTCATTTCCTATGTGTAACAATCGCGAAAACCTAAGAACTCGAAAGGCAATAAATTGTTGAAAATATTCAAATGTGGCACTCGACAGCAAAGCTCCCCATAAACCATAATGACTCTATTCCCAATAAATCACCTCCTCCT